AACAAAAAGCACATGTTTAGATTTCTTTGCCTTTATCCACAATACAGAGGAAGAGTTTTCAAGATCATCAAATTTTTTCAATTACTCCAGATATCCTGTATAAAGTTTCATTCGGCCTCGCAATTAGTGGAATAAATTAGTCGTTTCAATTACACTTTATGCTCTTTTAATAATCTTTCTTTGTTTAAAAACACAGTTAAAATTAATCTCGAAATTACTAGAATATCCTAGCAACAGCTTGCGTTAGTCAGTTCTATCCATAGAGAAAGTCATGAGAAAGCCTAATATTTAGATTATAAAACAATTTTTATAATTATATATTAAATATTATAAAACACTTTTTATTTCTAACCATAATTTCTCTTGACGGAAGATAATCAAAGGCCAAAATAACATTTCTCGCAAATTTTGAAGTATAATTGTTAAAAAATTGATAACTTTTTCTACTAATTAAAAATGTCTACCACTAATTTTGATGTTCTGAATGCTTACATTGAAATTACAGGATATAATCAAAAATTAATAAAGACATATCAAAAAATTTCGGTTTCATAAACAGCAACACCAAAATAATCCCGACCAAAATCATAAAGATGAAATTCAGATTGGTTCATGAAGCGAAAAATAAATTTTAAATCAAAATTTTGCTCAGATTTAGCCAGACCACCAGCAGGTTACTTTTGAAACGAATATGTTACTATTTTGTTGGGTAACGTATACCGAATGTTTCTCAAAAGTGGCTTATCCCTGTAATTTTTTTTATATTCTTAGATAAAAAATGAGATTTGGTATGTTGGATATAACATAAATTGGGACTGATTGACCTATTCAGTTGCTTTCGGTCACTTCCTGTTTCACCGGAAATGACTACAACTTTTGATTTTTAAATAGAACCCTCGATATCTTTTTACTTTATTCCATAGAAAATGGCACTTTGAATAGAATGATATGACATTTTTGTATACATATATCAACTTATGACATTTTTGCTTAAAAAAATCGTATTTTAAATTTCAATCTAAAGTACCGTGGATGTGTTAAAAACACTAATTTTTAATTAAGTAGACTTGGAAAAATATATTTGATCATCTAATGTTTTTCGTGTCTTGTCCTGGCGGGTTAAAATATGCCCAAATCGTATTTTTAATCATATCTCAATTTTTTTTTCAAATGAAGCAATGGTGGCTCATTAGCATATTTGGAAAAAACATTTTTTTACCAACAATTTGGTAGCACACACTTGGTGTTTCGAAAAAAATGTCTTTATGAACCGCATGTTACAATTTTAAATAAACCATATGCAAAAATGTCAAAAGTTGATATAATATAATATTCCATTCTATTTAGGGTGTCATTTTCTATCGAATAAAGTAGAAAAATACCGAGGCTGTCATTTAAAAATTAAAAGTTATAGTCACATCCGGTGAAACAAGAAGTAAAGGAAAACAATTGAATACATCAGTCAATCCTGATTTATGTCCGTATACTACCAAAATCCAAATACCCAATCTCGTATTTTTATCTGAAACAATGAAAAAGTTATAGGGGTGAGCCACTTTTGAGAAACGCCCGGTATAAGATAAATAGACAGTGATATTACATGACACTCCATTACAAACTAATGATACTTATTCATACTCCACGTTTACTTATTTTTCTGAAGCCACGGCAAAGTTTTACCTTGATTATTGCGCGAAGTACTACGAATAATATAGACGCATGTTCTAAAAGTTTTGTGGAAACTGATCGAAACGTTTCTCGAAATATTTCTTGAGACAATTCCAATAACAACAAAAAACAAACAACCAATCATTGCTTATCTCGGTCGATTTCAATTCTGTTTGCGTCTAAAGCAACGAAGATTCCACGCAACATAAGAAAAGCATTGAGTAGTATCAGGGGCGGATGCAGGAATTTATTTTAGGGGGGGGCCAAAAAAAAGCAATGTAGAATTTTTTAGGGCGCCATTTTTAACCCAAAAGCCTAATATTTTACACAATTTACAGATTTTAGGGGGGGCCCAGGCCAAGGGGCCCCGCTCTGTATCCGCCACTGAGTAGTATTGAAAGTATCTGGAGAAATACTTCGCGAAATGTTTCACGAAATATTTCGGGCATAGAGTAGAGCTTAGATTATATTACAAAAATACTTACTCTGAGGTGTAGAGGGTGTTTTACATGTCTAGAAGTAAAGCTTGACAATAGGTTAGGGCTAGACTACCACTGGTGGATATACCCTGTAAAAAGTAACTTCTAAACCTGCTTATTTGTTCGTCGCTCAGCTGAAATTAATCACGCCGCCTCGATGTTTTGCGCGGCCACTGCCAAACAAAACCAAAAAAGGTTTTATTAGGGCCTTGTCCATCAATTGAACCTCAAATTATGGGTCCTCGTTAGGCGGATACCGTTAATAGGTTCTCTCGGCCTAAGGCCGCTTCGTCATATTAACGATTGCTTTGTCTTGTCTAACAACCGCCGCTTTACGGGCCTTTTTTTATCTGTAAATTTGGGTATTGTTTGTTAGTTCAATCTAAAAAATTAGAGATATTATAGGAACGTCAAATAAATCATATGTCACATTTACTATGTACTTTGATGTTTTGAAGAGATTTAAGTTAAGTATTTCAGACCTCTAGATTAAACTTGAAATTGCAGCCGAGAATAATAAATTGCAGCCACACCACTTTATGACCTTATGTTGTAACACTACTTCCGATGGTACTACAGATCTGAAACTTTAAGATAGTGTAGTGACTTCCCTGAAAACTCTACACTTTTTCACACAAATTTCAAACCTATAATTTGAACTTAGAATTCTAGTGATCACTTTAAGGCTCGCTTAGACTATATATTTGTAACTATAGAGGGTGCTACAAATTCGAGGTACGAGCATTGGTATCTCGGTAACCGTAATAGATACGAACATGGTTAAATTAGGGCAAAGTTGCGCTTTAGGATGTTCACCAAGATGACATCAAAAAAGCTTTAAAAATTTCATGGATTGATGATTTTTTTTGGAAAAAACGGATTTTTTGCAAAATCAATTTTAATTTTTCCTGGCGCATTACTTTTTAGGAAATCAAAAAACTAATTGCACATTCTCATTTCCACTTTATTAAGGCTATCTGATAGTATTTTCGACTTTTAAACTAGCTGATAATTTGTGAGATACAGAGGCCAACTTAATTTTTTTAAACACGGACCTGCATTTTTTATTTCAGATTTTGAAAGAACTCGTTCTCCTGAGTAAAACGATACGCCACACTATTTTTTTTTGTTTCGGACATTTGAACATAATTTATTTAAACTAATTCCGGCTCTTTTTTTAAGATTTAATCTATTCATCGTTACAATATTGATAAGCCTTCAAACTAAACAATGATGTGGGGTAAAACATTGAATACGGAAAATGAAATGCAATAACAAAAAGCGCATTATATGGCGTCATTTATAAAAGTGAAATCAATATATTTCAACATGACAATAAAGATTACAAAATGCATTGGCATTGGGAACTATAACAAAAAGTTATGTTCAAAGAGCTGTAAATAAGATTGAACAAAAAATAAATTTATGTATTAGGGAGGGTGGTAACCCTTTCGAACATGTAGATCATTAGAAACTAGTTTGTTAGTTTGTCGAAGTTGATTTATTTATAATAACTACGATTAATATTATGATTATTATTAGATCGTGCACTGAGATTTCAAATTCACAATAAAAAAGTTAAAAATAATATCTTTAAATTGGTGACTTGGATTTATTTGAATCTTTCAATTGGCTCGATTTTCCTTATTCAATGTTAATTAGCTCTAATCAATATTGTTACGATGAATACAATCAGATTAAATGAGCCGTACTTGAAATTATTTAAAATAATAATTAAATAGTTTTATTGTTGTTAAGATACCAACGCGTGTTTCGCTAACTATGTTAGCATCATCAGCAGATGATTAAAGCCATCAGATATAGATAGAGTTTTTTATGTGTAGAGTTTTAATCTATTTCAATTATTAAAGTTAGAGTTAAAAATCTATTTCAATTATAATACGCAATATACAGGGTTGTTCCAATTGTATTCAGGAAACTTCGGCAGCATATACTGCAGATAAAAATAAGTTAAAAAGTTCGTATAAATTTATGTCCTAAAACGCTTTGTTTCGTAGATATACAGAGTGTAGAAGTTTCATTTTAATTTCCATTTCTTCAAAATGCAACTAATGACAATATTTAAATAAAAATTGGTGTCTGGGTACTTTTTGATATAAAAAATTTGATTTCGGTGCTAATATCTCTTATTAAGTCTATATTATACTAATATAGACTCTTACTTGTAGGGTATGCCACCTACATATTTTTAACTGGTTTGAAGAATAATAGCTTTTCATTCGTACTTAATTCGTAAATAAATTCGAAAAAATATAGACTTCCACAATTTTTATGTAAAAAAGGCCTCTAGATAAAAATCGCTACGAGTAACCGTCCTCAAGATGTTAATAAATTATCAATACATTTACATCATTTACAAAAAGTAAACAAGTTGACTAGCCAGTTATTTGACTGAAATGATAAATTTGGGAACTTTTTTTTAAAATTAATCAAGTTTTTTTCTAGAAGAAATTATGATATGATGCAACAGTTTCTGTTGAAACTTTGGCACAAAAATATTTCAAATTTATGGTTGCAGGCAAATAACTATCTTGTCAATATGTTCAATTTTTGTCAATGATCACATGTATTGATTACTTTATTTGGAAAAAAAATAAACTTCAACACTGCATCTCCGAAACGAAGCTTTTTAGAACATATATTTATACGAACTTTTTACTTATTTTCATCTGCAGAATATGCTGTCCCGAATGCAATTCGAAATACCCTGTATATTAATATTTTTCACTCATTCTCCTTTGCTCCATATTTTTCGTTACAAGCTTTGCGCAGCATCCTCAGAGAATTCTATCGATTTTACTGTAGTTAGCTCTGGATAGTAGCACTGCAAATTTCTCCCGTTTATACTCCTAAACAGGAGCACAAATAACCTGTTTTATTTCAAATAGTAAACTATTCAGAAGTAATACGCCAAGTATTAAGAATGCTGTGATCTAATAACATTTATCTGATTATATAAAAAAGTGTCTTATAAAAGTTTGTTAAAACACTAAAAATGAAAAAACTTTTGTGCTATAATTATTCAAAATTGTGTTTCCCAATCTTTTTACTTTTCTTCGTACTATGCGCCGAACAATCGTCAGGAAATCCCGATGCAAAAAGACTGTACGATGACCTTTTAAGTAATTATAATAGGTTAATTAGGCCTGTGAGAAATCATTCTACGAATATTCTTGTAAAACTGGGATTAAGATTGTCGCAGCTAATTGAATTAGTAAGTAAATCATTTTAAAGTTTTTCTTAAACATTTAAACCTTTTTCTAGGCTTCTAGCATTTACATTTAATTATTCTGAGTTGAATTAATTAATTATTAACGCGTTTTTATTGACCTTATCAGTTTTATTTTGAATCTATTTTATGAATAATCAAAATTTCAAAACAGAATCTTACACAAAATTGTCGCAAAACGGTCACAAAAATTGGAAACCCTACAAACCCTACAAAAGACTTTATTTACAATAGGTTTACCTACTTAAAATTAATATCTCCAGCAGAAAATTTATAAGGGGATATTTTGGTACAATGCAATGGACCATGAACCGCCCTGTATTTTTTATATAATTAATTTATATATATATATATATATATATATATATATATATATATATATATATATATATATATATATATATATATATATATATATATATATATATATATATATATATATATAAATAAATTTAAATAACCACAGTTAAATTATAGATACTGTATACCCAAGCAATGCTAGAATTTTTTTAGACCTAAATTCACTTAATCAATTTATGCAGTAATATAGAAATATATAAAGTTCACAAAACCTTTCACTTTTTTAGAATTTAAAAGATCAGATCTTAACTACTAACGTCTGGTTGGAGCATGTAAGTCTCTATTTATAAAATATACCTATATCAGTGGCGGATACAGGAATTTATTTTAAGGGGGGCCCAAAATAAAAAGCAATGTAGAATATGCTTTTTAGGGCACCATTTTGAACCCAAAAGCCTAATATTTTACACAATTTACAGATTTTAGGGGGGCCCGGACTCTATGGGCTCTCTCTGTATCCGCCACTGACCTATACCGTATGATCTAAAAAAAACGGCGTCCAGTTGGGTTGAAAATGACGATCAATGACATTTCCCATAAAACTTTATATATAAAATGACAGCAATCTTCATTTCATAGCCATCGATAACGCCGTTTTTTTATGAAATTACATTTTTTATTATAAAAATTTTCAACTTTTTAGGAATGGCATGATTATAAATTTATGTGGGACCCTCAAGAATACGGGGGAGTGTCAGAACTCTATGTTCCATCAGAACACATTTGGTTGCCTGATATTTTACTATACAATAAGTGAGTACTTATATATTTTGTAAACATTAAAAAAGGCATTTTCAAATTGTCCTTATACACATCGTAAAACTCTAGATTGAAATTTAAAATACATTATTTAAGTGAAAATGTCAAGAGTTTGTCAATATGTGATGTCATTCTATTCAGACTATCATTTCCTATCAAATATAGTAAAAATATACCGAGGTTACCATTTAAAAATCATAAATTGTAGTCGTTTTCGGTGAAACAAGAAGTGACCAGAAGTAATTGAAAACGTCAATCAATAATAAAATATTAAAATAATAAATTTCGTTTTTATCTAAAAAAAAATGTTATAGAGGTGAGCCACTTTTGGAAAACACCCGGTATAATATATTGTTTTTCTTAAAATAAAAACGCGTTTCTACAGTAATATAATTTCGTTTTAATTTTTTAATAGATTTATATTAATAGAATTTTTATTAAAGTCATATTTTTGCTGTTTTACAATGTAAAAGAAACACAAAATTTATCCATTTCAATGCTATGGAAAAGACGATAATAGCTATCGGAAAATGTAATACTTTAACGACAGCAAAAAATATGATATTAATTAGAATTAATAATAATCATTTATCAAAGAATGAAATCGAAATTATATTACCATAGAAACACCTTTTCATTTTTTATAATTTTCTCTAAATGGTATGAAAATTTGGAAAATAATAAACAGGATTACACATTTTAGAACAAGCCAATAATTTTATGAAGAATACAGTTTTCTCAAAATGTCAATAATAAAAATGTTTTTCCTCTTGTAAAGACAATGCGGGGACATACTGTATAATAATAACCAGTACTAACTTTTCTCTCTTTTAATCAATGCTTAATAGAAATCGGGATGATTAATATGTACCAACTCCAAAAAAAGCAACATTTAGCTAATAATTAAAAATAAAATAATAATCAGCAATTTTTTTATTTTAATTTTTAATATTTTTTTTAAGTGCTGACGGTGAATATGTCATTACTACAATGACAAAAGCAGTATTAAGATATGATGGCAAAATTCAATGGACGCCACCTGCAATTTTTAAATCTTCTTGTGAAATCGATGTTAGATATTTTCCTTTTGACCAGCAGACATGTTTCATGAAATTTGGAAGTTGGACTTACGGAAGTCAGGTCAGTATCAATTCGTTAAGATCAGTATCGTATTTTAAATTTTAGTAGTAGCTCACTTTAGTCTAGTGTCGAAAAATACCAACTTTTTCAAGAAATAATACTTAATATGCATGCGTTATTATTTTAGAAGCACTTTGCAAGTTCCCTAGAATCCTGGGGTGAAGTTTTTTTTACTTGAAAAAAACAACAAAACATCCAGTATATAGAAGCCTCCCCAAACACAAAATAATAAAAATTTCTTTAGGGAAATACATCATTCTCTTTTTTCAGACTTTAGAATAACTGAAATCAGGTGTAGGTTGGCAAATCAATTGTGTAGGTTGAACTTAACCTAGTAGATACTGTAATTTAGACCTCAATACCGTACGGAGAAAATACGAAAATGAACAAAAATGAACCAACAAACCAAATCAAACCAAAAAAAAACCTAAGCAAAACAATCAAAACACGCTGTAAGCTAAAACGCGTCTGTCTACGAATTCCCAATTGCCGAGTACTTTTCAAATCTCTCGCCATATAGAGCGCTGCGGTCGCAATTTTTACAATGAACTGAAATGCACCAAGCCTATGGTTTTATGATAATGTTAATAATACTTATTTTTTTTTAAATAATTATTTTTTATCTTTTAGATCGATCTGCAACATATAAATCAAAAACCTGGAGAAGATATCGTAGAAGTTGGGATAGATTTGAGGGAGTATTATCCTAGCGTCGAATGGGATATATTGGCCGTCCATGCAGAAAGACATGAAAAGTTTTATCCCTGTTGTCCAGAGCCCTATCCAGGTAAGTTATATAAGTAAATCTGATCTAAATAGAACTAATTCGATTCTTATGTTTTCAGACATTTTCTTTAACATAACATTAAGAAGAAAAACACTGTTCTACACTGTAAACTTAATTGTACCATGCGTTGGAATATCTTATCCTATCGGTCCTAGTATTTTACCTCCCAGCGGATTCCGGTGAAAAAATTGCCCTCTGCATCAATATTCTCTTATCACAAACCATGTTCTTTTTACTAATATCAGAAATTATACCTTCAACATCACTAGCCCTGCCGCTTCTTGGGAAATACATATTGTTCACAATGGTTATGGTAGGATTCTCAGTAGTCATAACGATTATAATTCTAAATGTGCACTACAGAAAACCGAGTACTCATAAAATGGCTCCTTGGGTTAGAAGTTTCTTTATAAAATCGGTTCCAAAATTACTGCTAATGAGAGTACCGAAAGATTTGCTCACAGAATTAGCAGCTCGAAAAATACCGTCGATGAGAATTCAAGGTAAAACAATGAGGGATTTAGAAGCTTTGTCTCCAAGTAGATCGTCCACATCCAGTTCATCTAGTTCTAGCAGAAATAGAGGCAGAGGCTGTAATGGATTGCACTCAACATCTGCTACAAACAGGTATGGAAAAATTAAACAAATATGTACAGGGTGTATCCCATTTAGGTGTGTTTTTCAGAGTTTCTTGTTTATGAGTAGAGCTACAAAGATGCGGTCTTCACATCACTATGCCACTTTTTTATGAAACACTCCTCCAATGATGTTACACACAAATTTGTCCTAGCCCTCTTAATTTCTGAAATACAGGACAAATTTGAAAATTTTGCATTCTTCGACTACCCTCGCGTATCTCGGTTATCTTATAACTTAAATAAAAAATGAAAACTGAGTTCCGTAGTTTTTCACGTAGAATCCAGTGGCTAACTAGTTTTCGCTGAGAGCTGCCATTTTCGAAATATAACTGAAAAGGGGACACCCTGTATTATTTTTTATTTTATTTGTCTTATTTTGAGCTCTCTAAAAATATACTTTAATTTATACTTATTTTCATAAATAAGGTAAAAATGCATTATTTAACTTTTTAGCATTAATCAATATAGTTAAAAAGAGCATTATTATTCTATTTAATTTAATTTAACCAGATAATTTTACTTTTTGACGTGTTTTCTTAAGAAACTGCACCGAAAAAAAACTTGTGCACATTAACGTAACTAGCAATTCATCCTGGGGTGGGCCTAGGGTTGAACCCAGGGGAGACCTAGGGCTTTTGTTTTTTAAAAAATAAAGAATAATAATATTAAAAATAAACACATTTTTGGAATAAAATGTTTACATGAATTTCTCTAACAATAAATTTGATAGACTTGGTTATCAACCGGTGTTCCCGTGGATTACTTAAATACCTACAAATTTTGTAAAAAATAAAAAGTAACACACAATTTTTCAACAGAGCAAAATCATATTAACTACACACAACTACAAAAAGTCGTTTTTACTATATCACAAGCAAATAAACATTAATATTTAGCCAAAAGTCATTATTAAGTTAAAATTCAAGTTTTCTCTAGGGGGTGCCCAGCAGTAACAGGGGTGGGCCCGGCGCCCCCGAGCCTTGCTGTAGTTACGCTAATGCTTGTGCAGCTTTTAGCTAGCCTGTTAATCAGAGTTATTAATATTTTTGATGCCCGTGTACTAATTCTACACACAGAAACTCGCGTAGAACAGTCAATAACCAAAATCTGACGTCGAATAAATTATTTGATTGTTTTGATTACCTAATTTAAACCGGCCGCTTATGGAACCTATAACCCTTCGCATAGTCCTTTATACAAAAGAATAGAAGAAAATAGAATAAAAGACAGAAATATTAACTGCTGCAGGTTCTTGACAAATGGCGAAGGAACTGTAATTATATTTCACTTTTCAAAGTTTAACCAGAAATAAAACTTCTTTTACTATACGTTGTATACTATTAATTTAATGTTTTCGTTAAACGCAAACTAAAATTAGATATATTATCAAAAGTTTATTGTGAAATTGTCTCATTTTTTTTTTGAAATGCCTACCTCACTAATGCAACTTTAAAAAATAAATAAATGGTGAATTAAAAAAATGCTATTTCAAAAGATACTGTCGTTGAGAATTATTTTTCAATGACAGATTTTTTTGTAATTTTACTTATACAGGATGTCCCAATATTCCATAGACATAGAACTACTACGTTCTTGGAAATTAAAATAACTATTTTTTTTTCTTTTATCCGTTAGAGGGTAATAAGAATATATCCAAACGTTAATTCAAAAATTATGAACCTTATTGTCAAAAATCACTTGTCACAACCTTGTCATACTTATCTAGAATTCAACACAATTCACATTTTCACCATCTAGATTGTTCTCGCCTATTAGATTTTAAAGCTTGATATGACAAGATATATTTGTTGGCTAGCTTTGAAAACATAAATATTATTTTCAAAAACTATCCGAGGTGGCGTTTTTTTACAAAAGACAAAAAATATAGTAAACAGTAGAAGAACTTTTTTACAAAAAATTATTATATTGTTACGGATTCCGTGGGTCCACTAATTTAAACTCACGATAAAATACTTAACGAATTTATTTTCTCACTTTATACACAATTACTAACTTATAACACACAACAAACTAACTATTTATAAGATTCCTTCACCAAATTGTCCGATTTTCAATTTCCACGCGGTATATTCAAATTTCAAAAACTGTCTCAGTTGTCGATGGCTCCGGCTTATATACTCTATTGACTGCTTCTCGAAATTTCCCCAATTCTCGGAAAGCGTACTTCTTCATACCAGACAATTCCATTGTCTGATTCCCTTACTTCTCGACTTGACTAAAAGATGGCGCCTGAACAAGTCTTTTAATTTCTGGCGTTGCGGTTGTGCACGCAACCAGTAATACATTTTTAATTTCTGGCGGATACGCCATTTTTCTTGACACATTGCGGTTATGCAGGCAACCAGTAATACATTTTAGCCCTTGACCTTGACATTGCCCCCTTCTCAAATTTGATCGTCCCGATCAAGGTTTCCTGTCTGGTATCTCTTCAATCGATCCAGATGAACTACTTTCATCTTACTTCTAGGGCTGCGTTGAATCCGGTACACTACATCATTTATCCTCTTGATGACTGTATAAGGACCTTCCCATGCTGGAGTTAACTTTGGGGACCTTCCTGTCTTGCGCTGTGGATTATACAACCATACTCTATCGTCCTGTTGAAATCCCGTAGAATTAGCTCTGAGGTCGTAACGAGCTTCCATCCGGTCACTGGCTAGCGTAATCTTACTTCTCACGTGCTTATGAACGTCCAGTAATCTTTCCTTCCTAACGATTCTTTCGAACGACAGTCCAACGTTATCTTGTTCCATTTTTCCTCCAGATCGAGTACTTGGTCCTTGTCTAGCTGCGCAAATCTTACAACGTTGACACCATTTCTTAACATCTTCACAATAATCCACCCAGTAAAAACGGTCTCTCAGCTTGCTCAGGGTCTTGTTTACCCCAAGATGGGCTCCAGTTTTACCACCATGAATTTCTTCCAATACCTGGGTAACTTTCTTTCTTGGTGACAGTAACTGAGTTGTTACTGTCCTGCCATCCGCACTTTCCCACGTGCGCTTTAACAATCCATTCTCAATAACCAGTGAATTCCACTGAGCCCAGAGAGCTTTGAAAACTAGCCCTCTGTCCGCAATATCCTGCCACGGTGGTCTCTCGCCGTTACCTTCCTTGAGCCCTAGTATTGCTCCGATTTCTGGATCTTCCATTTGGTCTTTCCTCAATTGTATCGTCGTCCATGGTTCGTCAGTTCTAAGCTTAAAATTCCTTATTCTGATAGTGCTTTCGCGATGTTTCATTTTCTTGTCCAAGGTAGCTCGTCGTCGATCTAGGTCGTTGTCGATAATTTGTACCCGTCCTACACGGCACCCAGCGGTTTTCTAGTTTTCCGAACACAGTCTTCTTGGTATCACCAGGTATCATCACAATTTTCGATGATCTTTCTTCCATATTTCCTGGTCTCTTCTCTTTAGATACAGAAAATTCCTCATTTCCGATTTTCAGGATGTTTCTATGGTGATCAAACGAAAACCATGTTGACTGATCACATCCATACCCATGATAAAATCATCTTCAATGTCAGCCACTAAAACGCTATGCCGAAACTTCAAATTCCCTAACTCCAATTCCATGAAAGCCTCTCCCGTACAGCGGTCATTTCCCCGTAACTGTACGTAAATACACTCTTCTTCTAAGAGGCATCATTTTCAATCCTTGACCGAGTTAGTCCGCACCAACGATACCATAGCGCCTGTGTCCACAGTCATTCGAATTCTTCTACCATTGACCTTCCCGTTGATCACCAAACTGTCAGCGGTTTTTCCTAGACTCCTAACGGAAAACATCCTAGGGGCTCTGTTTTCTTCAGCCAATACTCGCTCATTAGTGTTGATTTCCTGGTGCCTATGTTCTCTCGATGGTAAACGGAATCGCATTTGGACGCGGCAATCCCGTTTGATGTGGCCATTCCTGCCACATCTATAGCAACTTATGTCCTGGGATCTTCCGATGTGCCGATGTTCTCTGGATGGTGAATGGAATCGCATTTGGATGCGACAATCCCGTTTGATGTGGCCATTCCTGCCACATCTATAGCAACTTATGTCCTGGGATCTTCCGATGTGCCGATGTTCTCTGGATGGTGAATGGAATCGCATTTGGATGCGACAATCTCGTTTGATGTGGCCATTCCTGCCGCATCCATAGCACCTCATATCCTGGAATCTTCTTTGGTTCTCTGTCTGGGTGTTGTTGACTCTCTTGTTCACTAGTAATTCACATAGTTTATTAAACATCTCCTCCAAACGTATGTGAGAACTCTTTGGCTGTTCCTCAACCGTTACCGAGCCTATCTTCGGTTTAGGAATGGCGCTAAATGCAGCTTCTATTTCCAGCGCCCTGACGAGTACTTCGCTGCTGGTAGAAAATCGCGATATTTGCAGCGCCCTCTGTAATTCATTGTCCCTCAGTCCGCTGATAAAGCACTGAGCAGCGAGTTCCTCCCTAAATCCTTCCGGTGCTTCAGGATACGCTAGGTGTACCAGCCGACGTAAGTCTGCTTCAAATTCCTGCAGACTCTCTCCGGACCTCTGCATGCGTGTCTTGATCTGGGCCTGGTAAAGTTGACGTCGATGTTGGTCGCCATATCTTCTGTCCAGTGCAGCGACCAAAGTTTGGTATTCCTGCTGTTGGGCTGCAGGAATAGTTTGCAACAGTTCCAGGGCAGGGCCACGTAGCGCGATGACAAGTGCTGCTGCTTTCTCTTGGTCAGTCCATCCATTGGCAGCAGCGGCTGCTTCAAACTGACGGTGGTACATTGTCCATGTCGTTTGTCCATCGTAGGTCGGGGCCTTAAGGTTCGCTGTTCCTTGAACGCCAGGTGTCTTTACTTGTACCTTGGTCTTCTGTAGGTCCATCTCCAATCTTTCTATCTTCTGCTGAAGGCGTTCCTCAAGATCTTCTACGGCTTCTTGGAAGTGGTTCTGCTGTTCCTGGCAACGTACTTCCAACATTGCTTGTTGCTGTTCCCCAAGCTTTTCTGAAGTCGAATTTCTTGATTTTCTAAAGTTTTCTTAAGACGGTCCTGATCTTCTTGTCTTTCTTTCTGGCGGCGCGTTTCTATATCTTCTAAAATTTCCCTCCATTCATTCTTCTGACGAATTTCTAAATTGCCTAAAATTTTCTCAAGCCGGTCCTGTTCTTCTTCTTTGTCTTGTTGTCGTTGAATTTTCAAATCTTGGAAAATTTTTTCAAGCCGGTCCTGTTCTTCCTGTTTCTCTTTCTTTTGACGGGCTTCTAAACCTTCTAACATTTTCTCTTGATTTTCCATAAGTATTTTCTGTAGATGGTCTTGTTCCTCTTCTTTCTCTTTTCGCAACCTCTCTTGTTCTTCTGCCTTTTCTCTTCTCATATTCTCCATAAAATCGCCCAATAATTTGCTTACTTCCTCCATTTTCTTCGCCTGCTCCCTTGTACCAACCATAAAAATACTCTAATTCGGTCTAAAAATCTTCCAATCCACTTAATTTCTTCTTAAAATCCTCTTGAATCGCACTTCCGACACCAATTGTTACGGATTCCGTGGGTCCACTAATTTAAACTCACGATAAAATACTTAACGAATTTATTTTCTCACTTTATACACAATTACTAACTTATAACACACAACAAACTAACTATTTATAAGATTCCTTCACCAAATTGTCCGATTTTCAATTTCCACGCGGTATATTCAAATTTCAAAAACTGTCTCAGTTGTCGATGGCTCCGGCTTATATACTCTATTGACTGCTTCTCGAAATTTCCCCAATTCTCGGAAAGCGTACTTCTTCATACCAGACAATTCCATTGTCTGATTCCCTTACTTCTCGACTTGACTAAAAGATGGCGCCTGAACAAGTCTTTTAATTTCTGGCGTTGCGGTTGTGCACGCAACCAGTAATACATTTTTAATTTCTGGCGGATACGCCATTTTTCTTGACACATTGCGGTTGTGCAGGCAACCAGTAATACATTTTAGCCCTTGACCTTGACAATATTAAAAAAATATTTGTGTTAGAATTTGTAAGAATGATGCTGGATTCAGAGTTCCGTAGCCGTAAGACGTAAGCCGTATCGTTAGCCGTAAGACTTAAGACGCAGGGAAAGCAATTCATAGTTGCCGTAAGACGTAACGATAACTTCATCGTAAGCGTGCGCATTACCGTTTTTAATAGGTTATGTTGTTGTTTGGGTTGTGAATGTTGTGAATAAAACTATAATACTCCTTATTTATTTTGTTATTACTAATTTAATTGAACTAAAATGGACACGGACAATTATATTTTCGTTGCCGAAGTGAAATATCTGTGAAATATATTATAAAAGTTGTAGAAATGGCTACCGAGTACCACCGAACCTAGCCGACACCACCCGATTCGATAAGATGTAACGTAAGAATTAAAATTGGTTCATTTCTTACGTCTTACGGCATACGGCATACGGAGATCTATGAACGCAATCATATGATTGTGAAGGTCGATATCCCTTACGTCTTAACGATACGGCTTACGTCTTACGGCTACGGAACTCTGAATCCAGCATGAGAGTTGTTTGTACCCTTTCTGTTTTATTTTGCATTTTGCTAAGCAAAACATAGAACCTCAAATCTAATTAAAATCGGAATATCGGTTATTAAAATATGTTAAGAAATGTGTTTATTTTCAACCCTCCCTGTATATACTATACTATTTATTTTTTAGGTTACGGGGGTTTGCAGGAGCCCTAAGTGGAAGATCGGGTTACAATGGACTTCCATCTGTGTTCTCTGGTTTGGATGAAAGTGATTCTGGAACTAGAAAAAAGTATCCTTTCGAACTGGAGAAGGCAGTTCACAATGTTATGTTCATTCAGCATCATATTATGAGACAAGATCAATTCAATGCGGTAAGAGAGTTAAAAAATATATGGTTAAAGTAACTGAAGTAGTTCGGAAATAACTGAGTATACGAAGTAACATCTGACAGACCGTTTGAGCAAATCGTATGTTAAAATTCAAATTCCCAGAAAGTTTAAATATTATAAAGATTTTTTATACATTAGCTTTTTTTAAAATATTGAGCAGAATGAATAAGCAGCAGGAATATATGAAATTATTCTCAAATAAATACCTTGGAATGACCACCCATTAAAAAAAATATCTACCATACGATAAAAAAAACGACGTCAAAGACGACTGGAAAATGACAATCTACGATAACTTTGTCGAGGTCAAACCCTAGACATCATTGACTTGGTTCGTACTCTTCATTATTTTTTAATGTCACGTACTGCTAGTTGGCGTTAAGAAGATTGTAATTACTTTTTATATTGAGTAAAATTATTTTTAAATGGTACCTATACTTTAAAATTCAAGAAATAATAATTTCTTGGAAATAGATTTGTGTGTCAGGAAACATACCGTTCTATCTTTTTTAATCTTTCTATAATTAGTCTTAACTTGTGGCAAGTTTTATTTCAATTTTAATTTAACGAAGTCTAGAGACTGACCTCGTCAAAATTAACAGCCTAGCCTAACCGTCTTTGAAAGCATATTTTTTTCGATTATACGGTATATATGTCAAATATCGAAATACCGAAGAGTAACGTAAGAAGAGCTATAATACAGGGTGGCGCACCTCATTCGCCTCGGTTAATTATACGAAAACGGAAAGTTGTAGAAACAAAATATTTTATGTGTATATGTGGGGAGACAATGTGCACAATTTAAAATTATTTCGAAATACAGGGTGTCTCCGAACTAAGATCCCGAGGGGTGTCTCACTTGGGTAAAAAATGTACACGTACTGCCAAAATATCCTTCCACTTCTAAGCGACTGCCAGTGACTATGAGAAGACTGCCTATGACTGCCATGTAATTATTATAGACGACTGCCATAAGACTGCCAATGACTGCCATAAGATTGGATTCTTCGGCCCAAAAAAACGCATTTATTATAAGGGTTAAATATGTTTTAAATCTTTGGTTTTTGAGATATTTAAAGATATTTAAATATGCACGCTACAAAAGAATTGATTATTACCACCCTGTACATTACTTTTCAGAATTAATTCTTGTGCTGAGTTTAAAAAATAAATAAACTTTACTGAAAAATGTCATTGCGTCCTTAAATTTATACAGGGGTACCGAAAATTGGTGATCTATTTTAAGGATTTATTTTACATAAAAACTTTGTTATTTCAAATGCAACACCCCGTATTTTTTTAAATAGATCGAAGCAGATTCAAATGCTCTTTCAAACTATATTATGGTTTCCTATACCTATCTATCTCAGATTTTGAAGAAAAAGCGATTTTTAAATAAAATGGCAATGAAGATGGCTGGTATCGCCATGGCTATTTTCTAGTGACAGTAACTATCTTCAAAATCGACATTAGTTTACATTAAGACATTATTATTTAAACAGTTTACTAAAATTTACCCACAATAGTATAATAAGTAAGTATTCTTTATTTTATGAAGAAAAATAAAGCCGTATCTGCTGGCGAAACGAATGGATATGTTACTAGTGATTTTATTTTGTGAGGAAAATTATTTCTGGGCTTCAAGAGCTTATGCTCAAAGATATCCAAATGGAATCTTCCTGATAAGTGTTCCTTTGAAAAACAGCTTGTCCTATTTCCTATTTCGCAGAGTTGGTAGTGTAGTTTATAAAAAAACCTATTAGGCAGAAACTTGTCGTTGGAAGTGAAGAAATTCAATTTGCCGTAATTGGCTCTCTTATAGAGAATCCATATATCTACACGTTATCGTAAAATAAAACAAAGAACTACTTCGTTTTTCTTGATAGAATAATAAATACATATTAATAAATATTATTTATTAAACTATTGTAGGTAAATTAAATAAAAGTAAACTGGTATAAGTCTATAAACTAATTTCGATATTGAAAATAGTTACTAACTGTCACTAGAAAATTGCCATGGCGATACCAGCCATCTTGATTGCCATTTTATTTAAAAATCGATTTTATTCAAAATCTGAGAGAGATAGGTATAGGAAACCCTAATGAGCATTTGAATCTGCTTCGATTTATTTAAAAAATAGAGGGTGTTGCATTTGAAATAACAAAGTTTTTAAGTAAAATATATCCTTAAAATAGATCACCAATTTTTGGTACCCCTGTATAAATTTAAGGAAACAATAACATTTTTTAGTAAAGTTTATTTCTTTACCTTTAGACTTAGCATAAGAATTAATTCTGAAAAGTAATGTACAGGGTGTTAATAATCAATTCTTTTGTAGCGTGGATATTTAAATATCTTTAAATATCTCAAAAACCAAAGATTTTAAACATATTTAACCCTTATAGTAAATGCCTTTTTTTGGGCCCAAGTATCCAAAAATGAAATAAAATACTGGGTGTTCCATAAGAAAAAATATAACTTTGGTATGGATCTTAGTTCTGAGACAACCTGTATATTTCAAAATAATTTTAAATTGTGCACATTGCCTCCCCACATATACCCATAAAATATTTCGTTTCTACATCGTTCCGTTTTCGTATAATCAACCGAGGCGAACGAGGTGCGCCACCCTGTATATCCAGAATTATATTCAACATTTTTAAATTTTCATTCTAATAGTCTTTCTTACTGTAACAGTCTTTTTAATAATCAAACTGTTTAGCTAATACCTATAATACTATCTGTGTGCGCATCAAACTAACAATACCATTTTATTATCTAGGAGGATCAAGATTGGGGTTTTGTAGCTATGGTACTCGACAGATTGTTCCTTTGGATATTCCTCATAACATCATTGGTGGGCACAATTTCTATTTTATGTGAAGCGCCATCTCTGTACGATGATACGAAACCGATTGACATGGAACTCTCATCGGTCGCTCAACAACAATTTTTGCCAGATTTAGAGTTTTGAGCACGGCATTAAGTCATAAAGTTGTTAAACTATATCACACAGAATTCTGAAAAGACAATCTTGTAATAACACGTTTCAGGACGACTAGTTAAAATATTAGAAAAATAAATTATAAGAATATATTTGTATATTAATTTGTTATATTAAGTTACTAAGTACGTACAGGATTTTCAAATTTTTTTAGTAATAATACCTGCAGGCTTACCTATTGAAGGGAGCTATTATAATCTTTAAATCTAGAACTCGTAGTAATATTTTACGTGAACCTCCAGAAGGTAAAATAAAAATAAACAAAAAACGATCAGAAAGTTAAGAAAAAATATATAACTTCAGTACTGTTAATGGAATAACCCTGTATATGTTTTTTTATTTCTCTTCTTATCGTTTCAAACATATATAATTTCTCCATATCTGTGTAAATCATTTTTGAATTATTGTGGTTTAATCAATGCAACTGCTAAAACACAAAATGCATAATAACAGTTGTCTCTAAAGCTATGCTTTTTGTGTATGAACAAAATAATTCAAAAATGGTTTCCGCAAATATACCGTAGGTGGTGCATCATCGTTGGAAACATAGGAAGTCCTATGCAAATTTTGAACTGTCTGGTTTGGTTAAAAGTCGTAAATAGATTTTTAACGGTCTACGTTTGGTAAACACACATTCCAAATTGGAACCATTATGGACAAGCCGATTTTAAGTACTTTTTAGAAAAACTATAAAAACATCTATTTTTAAATTAAAACTGAACAGGTAACAATCAAACACCAGTCAAAAACCGACATACATTAAGTTGTCAACGTCATTTTCAAACTTAATTTTAATAAAATTTTAATATTCAGTGTACTAATGGTGTACAAGTAATAATTTTTTGTTATACATATAATAGAATAGATAGATAAAATAGACTAAATAGCTTAGACTTTGTATTTGACATGTTTCTTTATCTTACACTGTTTTTTTATAAACCTAAGGTACCGATATAATCGAATAAAAACGGCGTCAGCGATGGCTATGAAATGAAGATCGCTGTCATTTTATATGTAAATTTATATAGGAAATGCCATCGATCGTCATTTCCAAGCCAACTGGACGCCGTTTTTATTCGATCATAGGGTATGTCAGATTTTGACTGGTGTTTGATTGTTAACTGTTCGGTTTTAAGATAAAAATGGATACAATCTTTTCTAAATTGCTTAAAATCGGCTGGTCCTAAATTGTTCAAATTTGGTATGTGTATTTACCATACATAAACTTTTAAAAAATATATTTAAGGCTTCGCTGTACAGGGGAGTAATGTTTGAAGAAAGTTCAAAATTTGCATGGGATTTCCTATGGGGTTTCCAGCAATGATGTACCGTATAAACCCAGTGGGTTTAAAAATACGACACTATCGTTATGAAATACGTTTGAAATCGGAAGAAAAAAAAATTGAAAAGTAAAATAAAAGACATAAATTATTCTTAAGTTTCTGATCGCTTTTGAGGTATCGCACTAAATTTACTCTGTAATTCCAGTACAAATACATTGCGTTCTATCCTTTTGTTTGATATTAAATAATATTCTAAAATTTTCAATTATATTATTATATATACACTTTATTGTGTTTAGTGCGTAAAGCAAAGGTGTCAAAAATGCCTGATGTGATATATATTTACATATATGTACCTAAGGGACATAAGTTTGCAGTTATCTTTCTTTATTTATTGATAAAATAAGTATATAAAATAAGTACATTTTTCTAATTTTTACTATTATGAAAACTTTTTTTTATGATATTCACGAGTTTTAATGTGTTTACTAATATAGAATTAGATAGTAATTATGAACATTCATCTAGTTTACCTACAATGTTATAAAGTTTGCATAACAAATGCTACTGTATTATACTTAAAGAAAATTTAATTATCATTGCTTAGTCATATTAAGAATCAGGTATCAAAATAATACTTACTTAAATAACTTATTGACAGTAGTACATAATAACACATATGTATATTAACATTCACAGCCTCATTGTTTTTATCTGTTAAAATAAATACACTAAAAAAAACAAATATAGCTCATACCAAATAAACTTTTAGTCACGTGATTAAGCTTGGCCGGCACAGCGTTGCCCACTTACTTTAATATATTTTCTTTTAATCAAAATATTTTAGGAAACGAAAATAAATTAATTATAAATATATAAAGTTATTATTTACATCAACAAAACTCATCTTCTTAACAGCACTTAAAGGACATAAAGGGCCATCACTACCCTTTTCCCGTTCAAAATATTCTAATAAAGTTGCGAGGCGTTTTTTAAGACTATATTAAGCTATCTTGTATACTTCGCACTAAAAGAGGTTCTAAAAAGAACAATGTTCGACTGCAAGGTCTGCAACTAAATATTTAAAAAAATGCTTAAAGTATCAAAACTCATAATACAAAACTAAAGTGTCAAAACGAATGACAATATCAGGAAATTAATAAATAAATGTGGCAACTTGACATTTCTTATAGCAGAGCTACCATCTGAATCCCCAGCGGGAAATTTAAATTCCAGTTAGTCAGCCCGGCGCCGAATATGTCAATGGTTACCAACAATGAATTTAAAAATCGCGCCCTAGATTACGTAATTAAAAGTTTAGTTGGTATCAAATATATGTTTTGATTACACGCCAGTCAATTCAATTTTTTTCTCAATGCCAGTTCGTTGTTCCACCTTCTCCATTTTATCTCCTTTAAGCATCAGCTGAATTTCCTCCAAACTCTTTCCCTTAGTCTCAGGAATACAGAAAGCCGAAAACACTAAAACTCCAACCGCACAAACCGTAAACAGATAGAAAGGTACGTGCATTCCGTACTTATGTAATATCTGATAAAACTGAATAGATATTATTCCTCCTATAACAAACATCACATCGGCTACGGTCATGCCGATAGCTTTCATTTTAGCGGGAAATATTTCGGCGGTTATAACTATGGGTACCAAACCTAGTCCATATTTGAAAGCAGCAGCATAAACCAACACCGATGCGATAGGAATCCAAGACACTGCAGATACATCATAGTGAAGGTATTGAAGGTGGAAATAAACCGCCAGAGCTATAAGGCAGAGTGCACTGAGAAAACTGGAGACGATCAGAATTATTTTTCGGCCAAACTTGTCGATGGTGAAACAAGCACACGTCGATGCCAAAAGCATGATTACGGCAAATATGATGGCAGTTATGTTGTTGTCGAGGTAGATAGATCCAGCAGCGTTAAGGATGGGATGCAGGTTCATATACATCACGCTAATACTTGCCATATGTTGACCTAAAACATAAAAAAATATGTCTGATATTTTATAGATGAGTATCATACCCTAATGAGTTGAGGAGATGAGTTATGAACATAATTCTGTAGGTTATGATTGTCACCTAATTATAAAAAGTAATTTATATTCCCAAATTTTTATATAATTTCGTAAATAAAATATGAATGTTATATATTTATATATTAGTAATGATAAAAATATTAGTTAATTATATTGCAGAAGAACTACTAATGCTTAATTGTTTTAACCGATTTGTTAATCAGGTTTGTATACCAGGTGCGTCTCAAAAGTGGCTCAAAAGTCTCAAAAGTTTTTTTTTCCATAACAAGGAGCCGTCCTCTGCCGGAAACACTGCGACCTGTGAGGCCTATTGTTTTTGTCCCCCTTCTATATCTGCACCCATTCTCCTATCCCTGTGCCCTGCACTAGCTTATGCAGGTCCTTGATAGGATGGGAGCATAGTTCCTCCGGTTCTAGCCTAGCTTTCCCAAATAAAGAGTGTCGCTTGCGATCCAGAGCCTCGCAATGACATATTATGTGCTCCGCTGTTTCAGGATCTTTATCGCAGAGTCTGCCGCAAAGACTCCCTTGATACAGGTTGAGGTTGTTCAGATAACACTTGACAGCCATGTGTCCTGTCAAGAGGCCTGTTGTAATCCGCACTTTATTCCTGCTAAGCATTAGCAGTTCTTTTGCGGTTTTAGAGCTAGGTCCTTGGATAAAAGCCTTGCTGTGCCTGTGCTCCTGTCTGTTTCTCCAGTGGACATTGTGCTTTTCCTTGATCCAGAGTTTTAGTGCACTACGGGCCATACATTTGGGTATTCCCAGTACTGGCTCTGGACCAAGATAGGATGCCGATGATCCCTGCCTAGCTAGCTCATCGGCTTTTTCGTTGCCTTGGATGCCGCTGTGGCCCGGCACCCAGAATAATTTAATTCTGTTCCTTCGTGCCAGAGCTCCCAGTTCACCCAGGCATTCCCAGACGAGTCTCGACGATACCTTTGGGTTCACAAGCGCCCCAAGTACCGCCTGACTGTCTGAGCATATATTGATGAGCTTACCTGAATAAGCTCTTCTATTGTTTTCTCTTGCACATTGTAGAATGGCGGAAATTTGGTATATTAGTATTAGCAAAGGTATTAGGATTGATTGACGATTGATTCAGGATTGATTGACGTATTCAAAAAATTTTGGGTCACTTCCTGTTTCACAGGAAATGACTACAACGAGCGGTCTCACTATTGGAATTATATGTATATTTGCTTGGCAGTCACTGGCAGTCATTGGTAGTCTTACGGCAGTCGCCTATAATAATTACATGGCAGACATAGGTAGTCTTCTTCTATATAAATTGACACTATGAATAGAAGGACATATCATATGTCAACTTTTGATATTCTCGCTTAGGAAAAAATCGTATTTTAACTGACTGTGTTCAAATTTTTAATCAAGGAGCGTTGGAAAAATAGATTTGGACATTTAATGTTTTTCGTGTCGTGTGCTGGATAGTTAAAAGATGCTCAAATCGTATTCTAATCATATCTCATTTTTTTCAAATGGAACGAGGGTGGCTCATTAGCATATTTGGAAAAAGCATTTTTTACGAATAATTTGGCACCACACGCTTAGTATTTCGAGTCAAATTGTCCACACATTGGGCACATTTATGCCCATGGCACTCTAAATTGAAATTTAAATGCTATTTGTTTTTAATTTAAAATGTCAAAAGGTGACATATGCAATGCCATGCTATTCAGAATGTAATTTTCTATGAAATGAAGTAGAGAAGGATGTCAAAAATTGAAAGTTGTAGTCATTTCTCGTGAAATAGGAAGTGACCAAAAATGATTGAACACGTCATTCAATCCTAATTTATGTCATATACAAATAACATACCAAATCTCGTTTTTTTTATCTGAAAAAATAAAAAAGTTATAGGGGAGAGGCACTTTTCAGACGCACCCTGTATAACAACTGTTGACTCACTAAATGATACTGAAATTCATATTATTATTATAATAAAACGGTGCAAGTAATTTGTGTAAATAACTAATAATGTTAGGTTGTAAGATCTGATAATATTGTCAAGGTGTATGTGGCGCTAAACTGTATTGCTGGTTGCCTACGTGTCAAGAAACATGGCGAATTCACCAGAAAGAGAAAGAAATATTATTACAGAATTCTATAGAAGGTTCGAGAAACAATCAGTAGGGGTATATAAAGGCCCGCGATTGGCGGTTGGACAAGTTTGAAGTTTTATAATACCGCGTTTTAAATTGTGAATTAATTGGCGAAGGTGCCAGAACCGAGTAATAGTCGTTGCATAAATTGTGTTGTAAATAGTATAAGTTGTGCGTACAGAGTGAGAAAAATAAATTCGTTAAGTATTTTATCGTGAGTTTAAATTAGTGGACCCACGGAATCCGTAACAATATCTTTGAATAGAAAGATTAAGGAAGGAACATAATGCTGTCCATATTATGTTCACGTATGATATACGTAAATGGAGCCCTAATGTGTGGATCCTCGACAGTTCTGTTTAACAATTTATTTGACACGTTTAAATTTGATTCGAATTTTTGGGGATTTGTCAGTCTTTACTGAGCTTATTTTTGTTATTTATTATTTATTTGGTAGTGGTTTAGAGGTAGTAAATCTAGAAAGAAATCGTTGAACTTAAATTAACAGTCTGAATTGGAAATTGAACTTAAATTAACAGTGTAAATTAAAAATGTTTTTTTGCTGAACTTAATTTAACAGTGTAAAATAAAAATGTGGTTGTGTAGCATGTGGTAGATCTAGGTTAAAAATTTAGGGAAATAATGGAATAACCTTTCACTAGACTATACAGGGTGAGTCTTAAATAAGTGCAAATATTTTCAGGCCTAGTAGATATCGATAAAACAAACATATTTTCTCCTCACCGTTTTTTAAATAATTCTATAGAAAACGAATTATTTTACTTTGAAAATTTCAAAAAAAAAAATGATTTTTTGCTAAAATTTTGATAACCACCGGATCTCTTCTGGCTTTTCTTTCTTGTTGATTTAATCTACTACCTATGTTGCCATATTATCAACAAATAATGTTTTTTAACTAAAAACTAAAAAAAATCCATATGTTTTTTTCAGAAAATTCCAAATTTTCATTTTTTTCGCGAAAAAAAATTCAAATCGTGTTTCTGGGGTCAAAATATACTACCCTTAAAAATATTCGCACATGTTTAAGGGTCACCCTGTATATTATATATACGTGTAGTAAACCGATCATTTATGAAATTCCTTTATAATTAACTAACTATATATTTGTTCTTGCAGTTCTGCTTTTATTTACTACTTGTCAAAGATTAGATGCCAAAGATATAAATTACTGAGTATACCCGACATCATATTTTACACGTTTTATGATAATTTTTTGAAAATTTGTTCAAAGCTATGGTTCAAAGGATAATATTAAAATAAATACAGGTAATCTCAAGTACTAACTTTATATCCTATTATAGTCAGATTAGTTTTACTATTTCAAGAAAACAGAAAGCTAGTATATTTCAAGCCTTCCAGTTAAAAAATGAAGAGCAAATAGAAATAGTCATAGGCGTTGGCGGATGCAGATGTAGAAAATATAGTTAATTGTCACTTGTTATAAGAGGTATGGTGGGGTAATGGCCACAAAAAATATATTGTAATTTATTTTTATATCTCACCAGCGTTAAGTACAGTCATGATAATAATTGCTTTGCGGTTACTAGGTACCAGAATCAGATCTTGAGGGCGTCCCTTTTCTGTCTTTTGTCTCTCAATTCCAGCTGAGATTTCTTTCAGCTCTTTATCTAAATCAGCATGTGCAGAACGAAGTCTCCTTAAAGATTCTTTGGCTTCTTCAGGCCTAAAATCAAACATAAACATTATTCCATATTTTCTCTGAAGAATATTAATTCAAAATAAAATATGTTCTCGAGTATTGAAAAATTTCTAATAAAAATATCTATTTACCTACCTATTTTTATATATTAGGTAATATGGACTAGCAGGTTGAAAAGTGTATATCAGTAGCTGGACACTAGCTAAAACACATCCAACAATAGGTATGGAATAAAATGGAGTATATGGTCCTAAGCTATACACAAAAACCAATCCTAATAACATCATGATGTAAATTATCGACGATAAAAATCCTCTTATTTTTGAATCTGCTATTTCAGCTATGTACATTGGGGCTGCTACAAACGACATATCTCCAGCCATACCAGCAAAAAATCTAAAAAAATGATTATTTAATTTTAATAAAACTAAATTTTTGGAAATTCTTTCTAATCATCTCTGATGTTTTTCTCTGTTTCAACATTTGAATAATACCTTATCTTAATCTTAATACCCAGTATTGGTAATATGTAAAGAAAATATAAGTAATAAACGAGGTATAAATACATTTGTTCAGTTAATTTGTTTGTTAATATAATACATTTCTTCCGTTACTGGATTTGTCCTATGACGTCAAAAAAAGACCTTTGTTATTTTATATTTTCATTATTTTTATTAATATTGACACACAAAAATAAATTTTCATGATATTATTATTTTGACGAATTGTTTTCTTCGAATTATGACATTATAAAAATTACTTAAAATTATATTTAATATTAGATCATCTTTAAGTGTGGGTAAGTGTGGGTTTGCATGAATTCGTAATGCGTTGTCCGTTCTTCAACCAATAATATTGCATAAAATTGTTGATTGAAAGAATTGAGAAGATATGCAACCTTTTGGGCAAATTCGTGACAAGGCTGATTTGATTTACCCTTACGTCTCATGTGCTGTACAGTGGAGCCTCTATTCGTTCTGCGACCAACGCATAAAACACTCATTTTCTCTATTTCGGCCAGTGAACGCATATCGAAGACGGTGTGGAACTGTAAGCGACAGTGTTGCCATATTAAAATGTGTAATATCTATAATACGTTTTTTTTTTGACAAAAATATCTTTGGATGAAAAATCCGCCTTTATGTATTGAAAATTTATTCGTGTTAAGCATAAAATAAACAACAAAACTAAAAATTCTTCTATGGGTACTGAATATTTCGTATGATTGAAAAAAGTCGATTAGTTGGCTTGGACATGACGACTATTGCCATTTACCACCATAATATTTTACATATGAAATAACAGCGATCTTCATATCCAAGCCAACTCTGACGCCCTTCTTTGTTTACTCAATATAGTAGTTCTTTGTATCCTCCTCCTAGGTGCCTTCTCTGAGATTGGCGATTAATATGGTATATGACTCTCTGTCTAGCACTTGGTGAATAAGGGTGTTTCTCTCGGTGTGAGTCCAATCTCTTGTCTAACGTAACCATGACTTCTTTTTCCTCCCTATGCTACGTTTTCCATCGATTTTTCCTTCTATTATGAGCTGTATTTCCTCATATTCTGAGTGCCGCATTATATGTCCAAGGTAGGAAGTCTTTTTGATTTTAATTGTGCCTGTTAGGTGCGCACGAGTTTTCATTCGATTTAAAACTTCATAGTTTGTTGTTCTGGAGGTCCAACTTATCCTCAGCATCCAACGATACATCCACATTTCAAACGCATTAAGGCGTCCATGTTTCGCCTCAATATTGGAGTAGGGGCCATATGTAACATTTTAATGTTCTTAGCTTCGCTGGTATAGCTATTCTCGGATGACATAAGAACTTCCGCATATTGAGGAAACCGGCCCTAGCTATTTCCATCCTTCTTCTGATTTCCTTAGAGTGGTCTAGCTGGCTGTTTAATTCCCTGCCCAAGTTAATATATATCTGCGCGGTTTCGAAATGGACGCTGTTTATCATTATGTCGGTGTTCTCATTGTCTTGCGGATGTCTGTTGAAAATCATAGTTTTTGTCTTGACGGTGTTAATCTCTAGACTCATCCTGATACTTTCTTCTGTCAGTTTGTCCATTAGGGTTTGCAGCTGATCTTCGGATTCTGCTAATACCACGATGTCGTCTGCGTATCTTGTTTATAATTTTTCCATTTATTAGCCCCTTCTGGACAATTTTGAAGAGATTTTCGGATTATATATTCGGCATAAACGTTAAACAATAATGGTAACAATATGCTATCTGACACTTCTTTGTATGTCTACGTATCTTGTATTTCCTTTTTCTGTTCTGACACAACCTTTGTGATTCCAGTATGTGTTCCTTATAACGATAATATCTCTCTCATCCAAGCCTACTTCAGTGAGAACTTACTAACTACTAAGTAGTCAACGTAACATACGTACAGCTTCCTGTCCCCCTTCTAAAACCGTATTGTGATCTAGTAAGTTTGTATACTCAATAATTATTTTAAATTGTTTAATGATAGATCCGTATTATTAACGTACTGTACCAAAAATCCGTAGTTTTGGCAACACTGTCTCCGGCAACCAACCACTCTGTCGACTGAAAGTAGAACTACGGCACAGTATTCTTTATCCGCTGCGCTGTAAACGACTATCAGCGCGCAGCGGCGCAGAGCTAAACTAAGTCTCGGACAGGTTTTGTGCCACGAAATCGCCCATAAGGTTGCGCATCTTCTTACTTCTGCATTCAACGATAAAATCAACTATAGACGATGCATGTAAACTGGCACTGATTATTGGACCATATTTACGTGCCGGGCTATGCTGGATTTTGTAGTATCTCCTACTCACTAGTTACGCAAAGAAGGTTGGGTAGATTTTCTGAAGTTCAGCGTGAAGTAAAATATATACCACATTTCGTTTGCGTTTAAACTAATATATTAAAATAAAGTTTTACAATAATACTGATCACCTGTTAAGACGCTAAAAAGATCGATTTTTCGTTCTCACAGTACGAAATCATAAAAACTGACAGTTATAACTTTTTAAACACTGTATATCGATATGAAATATCTAAAGAGAATTAATAATTCGCACTGTAATGGTTCAATCATTACAGAATTCTTGCGTCAATTATTAACCTATCAGTTATAGATATTATATTTAAATTTTAATTAACGCATAAATTAACATTTCTCTAAAAATACAACTTGAAATCCAAGATAAATTACACTATGCATGTACAGGGTGGGCGTCGTATATAGACGGAACGGGGCTACCAGAGAGAGACAGTTTGTGTTTAAATTACATTTTGTGACATTATTGTACGTTAACTTTCAGCATTTTTTAAAAATATAGGTATAGCGTTCTAGAAGGGTATGTAAAAAAAGTTACACACTAAATCATAAAAACGAAACTATCTAGAGAAGTCTTTGTCAGAGGGATAGGCAACTTTAATAGTATTTTGTAGAGACAGGCATGCTCTATTGAATACCGGTATAATACACTAGGTGTTCCATTTAACATAAAAGAGGAACTTGCTTTTAAAGATGATCACTGTTCAATATTAAGTTTGTCTGACACTGTATAAATTTTCGGGTCAAGTTTTAATGTGGATTAAAGTACAACGATTATTTTAATTACATATCAGGCTCTACAGGGTAAATTACGATTTAGGTAGCTCTTATTGAAATTTAAAATTTGTTATTCATTTTTAGAAAATGATAAATACATAATATTTTGTCAAAAACCGTACATTTTAGTCACATGCTGCTTTAATAAAACTCAACTTTTTTTCTCCTATCATCCGAAAATCGGTTAATAGACTTCCATTAAAAAACAACTTTAATGCGTAACTTTTTTTGACGACATTCGGTAGAAATGTTTGTAAACCCAATGTTTTAAAAAATGCTTTAAATAAACCTACATATGCTCCAAAAATTTCATCTCAATTCAAACTGTAGTTCTTGGAACATCTGCGTCGTATGAGAGGCACCACACTCTGTTAAAACGCATTTACTTACCTAGCTACAAAAATATATTCTATTCGATTTGCTAATCCTATTGCTATCCAATTTAATAATACTACTACAGCTGCTAATAATAATGATTTCTTTCTTCCTATCTTATCTACAAAATATATCGTAAAAGGTAGTCCGCAAAAAGCTCCTATCAATGAAATTGTTTCCAGCCATTCCGCCTGAAAAATTATTAGACATAATCAGATTTTAAGGATCTTCAGCATACATTTGAGACGTTGCTTCAAAATAATTTTATTTGAAAAAGAAGTGCGGAAAAAATATTTAAATAATATATTAGACATGCAGAGGCAGCATTTAAGATTTTTATTGTTTGCAAACCAGGAATAGTAGGTCAATAACTGGATCAAATACAGATAAACATTTTTTCGTCCGGTTTATTAGTAGTGAAACAGAGATTGCAAATTTAACCTTTTCAATTTAACGGTAAACATAGAACTACCGGTTTACCGATATTTACCCTTTTTGTTCTTATCAGAACAAAATCAGAAAAAATATAAAAGCAACCTTTATCAAATTAAAGCAGCATTTTCAAATATTTCCTCTAATTCCTTCTTACTGTTTGGGCAACAGTCATAGATCTTATTTAATCTTCTGTAATTTTTAGAATCAGAGGTTTACAATCAGCATTATGTAAGTATTGAAGGACATCGACACTTGATACTTATCGTTGATGTGGAAGATGCTAGGGGGAATACCCTCTGGCGCTTTGGCTGGGTCTAAGGAGCAACAGGGTCTAACATTGTCTTGTCCCTGGCTGTAGTAACCAAGACGTATAACGATGACGGATGGGACTACCCTGTCTGTCATACCAGGTACCCTCTACTAGGGATCTGCACGGACCGGGTAGCCCGAACGGGCCTCAGGCCAGGCCCGGTACGAACACGAGCCACGGGCCGGGCCGGTTTCGCACTGTCAATAGGGGTCGGGCCTCGGGCCGGGCCGGTTCCGCACTTTAAATAAACACAACTTTGCTTCTGTACATGTTTTTAAGACACCCTGTATTATAATAGGTGTTTTTAGGCTATGTTTTTCTGAAATTGATAGATTGTCTGGAATCGACAAAGAACTACTTGGAATAATTGTAATTGAAGGGATTTTTGTAATTTTATTTTGATCATTTTATTTTAATGGTTCGGGCCGGGCCGGACTAGTTTAAGTTTTAACTTTCCAAAAACCGGGCCGGGCTTACGAAACCTACTTCTCTTATCGGGCCGGGCCGGGTCGAGCTACAAAAAACCGGCCCGTGCAGGTCTCTACCCTCTACTGTCTGTGGTCATGTATCACAATCAGAAGTCAGAAGGTGTCGGGAGGGGGTCTTAGCTTAACCTCCCGGACCAAGAAGAGACAACCTCACCAAAAAACTAAATCCTATGATGGCGGGACCAGGTCAAAGAGATGCGTTGCTAGATAGAAGTTTTAAGCACCTATACTGGTTTCAAACTTGGGGCAACCCATTGTATTCTGGTCTCCCTCACTTCTACATGCGGGGGTCTGTAGTGGACCGACTAATCCTTGTGGTAAAACAGAATTTTCCAGAACTCCAAAGTAAGAACATGGAGTTGACGAGTCATCAACTCGAGGGAGAAGGGCCATGGTCAGGTCCTCACAATTGACGTCAGATCCGGAATTGACATCAAATCAAAGACCAAGTTAAAGAGGTGGAGAAAATGGAGACAGATCCAGCCTTTACCTCAAGGGTACCTGAGCCGGAGACAAGCTCCTCGACTGTGAAGGACACGGAGGGCTAAACCCCAACCGTGGAAGGGTGTATACCCTCGTAGGAGATAGATGTCCACTCCTCGGAGGATGAACATTTTTTTAAAGGAGTATGCGTAATGTCCCTATAACAGGAAAATCCTCGTGTATGATGAGTTAAAACTGGAGTAAGGGAGAAACAATAGATTGTATTATGGGGTGATTAGGGGGGTGATTAACACCCCTTCTACTCATTCTACATTCTACAACTATTTTTTATATATTTTTATAGAATTTCTTGAAAACAGTTATAAAAACTATGATTATTTTAATAGCATTATGCAATAAATATTGTAATAAATCTATTGCAATCGTAATAAGTGTTCGAAATAAAGTTTTCGAGTTCTGGCTTCTAGACTAGTGTACCTACATTTATTTTTTTAATGACCACTGAAATTCACGTAATGTAATCCCTATTCCTTAGAATATTTAGTATAACGGAACCATCTTCTTTAGTGAATAAGTTTATAGATTATATTGATAAACTACCTACTTGCGTTTCGGTGGTGGGTATATGTGACTCATCACTGAGAAGATACGGTACCATAGGTGATGTCCATCCGAAAGACATACCATCGGAAGCAGCTACTAAGGTACCTAAAGAAAAAAGAAAATTACAATTATGTTAAAATATAGGTACCTCTATGGAATTATATTTGTAAAAGTATTTGTAATTGTGTAAGTGTTAAGTAATGTTGAGTTAGTTTATCTAATATAACATAATTCATAATTCTTGACTAAAATGTAATGAAATTATTGTGGTAGGTATTGTGTAAAAAATTCAAAATATCTGTGTTATATAAATACCATTTTATCGAAAAAAAAACGGCGTCAGCGCTGGCTATGAAATAAAGATCGCTGTTATTTTATATGTGAACTTAAATGAAGAATGTCATTGCGGATACTGGGTCCAGAGAACAGTAATTCTTGATAGAATTTTGTAGGTATACAAATTTACCTAGCCAACAAAAAAACTTACCTAGCCAGCAAAAAAACTTACCTAGCGAGCAAAAAAACTTACAATTTAAAACTTAAAGAAACATTTCCACCCACTCTTAACAGAAAATACAATAAACAATAAGATATTTAAGTTAAATAAAACATGCGAGCACTTTTGCGTTTTTAACAGATACGTTTGTAAATCGTCAACAAAACAATTAATAGACATAGTTTTTGTTAATTTAAATACTTTAAATTGATTTGTGAATGAAACATCTGGATCAATTTGGATCGTTTTGAGAACAACTTCAATGATACTTTGTTTTTGTTGCTGTTTAATCATGAACAATTTTGAATTTTAAAATTTTGATCATCTTACACACTGGTTGTAAATGTTTTATTTGTAATTTTAATGACGTATTTTTTTTTTAATTGTATTTTTTTATTATTTGTATATTTTTTGTGCTTTTGTTTGGTTTGGTTTTATAAATTTTTAACCTAACCTACTATATAATTTCCCTAACAAATTAAAGGTCATATTAGAGATTTATCAAAAAAAAAATATATACATAATTACGCTGACAAATTTAATATTAACAACACTGAATAAACAAGAAAAAATTTTACATCACTAATATACTATTAATGAAATATTCTCAACTTACCTGTGACAGCAGCAAAAATTTGAGATCCTGTATCCTTAAAAATACTAACGCTCTTAACAGTCATTTTAAATCACCTAATAGAAACTGCACAACTACACTCTCTATAATATGATTTTCAAATCAAAATTATAAAACGATATGTGAAGACCTGAGATATTTTATTTGCTCGGCCACACATAATTTAATAAAGGGATCATACACGGATTTCGTATTTATACGACACTCTTCTGACGAAAAGATGTTGATTACAATAACAAATTGTATTTTTGAGAATCAGCGAAAATCTCTGTCGTAATAAAACTAAGTCGTTTATGAGAGTAAACATTGTTCTGGCCAAGGCTATAGCATTAGAACTACTTTTATAGCAGCATTTTTTTTAATTGAAAATTCTTTAATCAATATCAAATATCAACATTTCATATATTCTTCTGTGAATATCGTCACAAAACAAACACTTAAAAATAGAAGTAACTAGTCTGAATAAAGTCTAACAAGAACAATTAAATAAAAAATGTCAAAATTTAGATATTTATAGATAGTCGAACACCTATCTATCTAATCACTCACGTAACTTTTAATTAATAAATTATTATAGATTTATTAATACGAAAAATCAAAACAATGAGATAAATTAAACACTATATTGTTTAATACCGTAATTTCTTCATTTTTTTAATATTATTTTATTTTTAAAATTCCTGTATACCGGGTGCGTCTCAAAAGTGGCTCACCCCTATAACTTTTTTATTTTTTGAGATAATAAAACGAGATTTGGTATGTTGGTATATGACATAAGATAGGATTGACTGACGTATTCAACTGTTTTGGTCACTTTCCGTTTCACCAGAAATGACTACAACTTTCGATTTTTAAATGGCACCCTCGGTATTTTTTTACTTTATTCGATAGAAAGTGACATTCTGAATAGAATGACATATCATATGTCAATATTTGACATTTTTGCTTAATAAAAAATCGTATTTTAAATTTCAATCTAGAGTGCCATGGCTATGTTAAAAACACTAATGTAGAGTCAAAGAGCCTTGGAAAAATAGATTTGATCGTCTAATGTTTTAGTGTCTTGTCCTGGCCGGTTAAAAGATGCCCTTTGATACCACACACTCCTTATTTGAGTGAAATTTTCGTTATAAACCGAATGTTATAATTTCAAATAAACCATATGTATAAACCATTCTATTCAGAGTGTTATTTTCTATCGAATAAAGTAAAAAAATACCGAAGGTGCAAGTTAAAAATCAAAAGTTGCAGTCATTTCCGGTGAGACATGAAGTGACAGAAAACAATTGCATACGTCCATCAATCCTAATTTATGTCATATACTAACATACCAAATCTCGTTTTTTTAACTAAAAAAGTAAAAACGTTATAGGGGTGAGTCACTTTTCAAACACACACGGTATACAGGTAGTTTCAAGAATAAACTACAATATACCATACTATAATATCAACATGTTAAAATAATTAAAATACACTTATTATAAGTCAAAAGTCATTCGTTGCTATGGAATAAATACATTTATTTCTTATGTTTTTCATTATACAAATTATTGTTGTTCATCAAAACTAAATTACGACAAATTCTGTCGAAACTGTTATCAACTGTTGAGAAACTATTTGCAGGAGGTCTAATTTATCTTTCCAGCCTCGCTTTGTATGTGTCTGTACATAAATGATAAGAAACTCAAATTTTATTAATCTTTAATAATTCGACAGTTTGTGTACATACCATTCCAGTTAAAATTAAAAAAAACAATAAATGTAACTTATTTAATATATTATTTTTCTCTATAAATTTACACCGTAGTAAATAGTAATTAATATATATATGTAGTTTAGTTTACTAGCGTACGAGCATATGCAATAAACAGGTACTTAGACTAACAGGGACAAACACATTTGTTAACAAAATCACAATATGAAAAAATTAAATAAAATAATTAAAGTCTACAGTAACACAGGCAGCTATAGGAATAAATACTGAATCACAGGAAATATAATCCATTGTTGTATTACAGTTTATTAAGAGTTCAGATAATAATATGTCCAACCAGAAGATGACAGTGTTGTTTGTCATTTTCATTCAGAGGTAATTTTTGAATGATTTTGGCGAAATATTTGGACATTGATTGGAGATACTTTACTTTAGATATTGTTTTATCAGTTCTAGAAGATGTGAAAATACGGCAGCACTTACAAAGCCAATAGAACACCTACTATTTATAAAAAAATATTAATCCTCATTTAAATCCTCATCATTTCCTCATTTCAATACTTTTTTAGAATCCCCATTTTAGAATAGATTAATATAAAAAGAATTATTCCTTAATAGATACTGAGGTGCCAATTAGTATACTATAGTTATTAATATTTTACTTTTGCTTTATATTTTAAATCTGAACTCTTTAAATAAACTTGGATTAATATATATTTTACATAAACTGACTATATCACACATAAACGCATATGTAATTCTTTAAAAGATATAGCTTTATTATAGACTAAAAGCTTTTAACAGTCCGATAGTCCTTTTAATTATAAACTCTTCTAAAATGCGTCTATGTATAGTCAATATGTATATACTGGGTGGTGCAACTACCCGGTTTATACAAAACGATTACAAATTTTCAAAACCTTTTATTGCACACCGTAGCCATATAGCATATAGTAAATATGTATACAGGTTGTTAATATGTTTATTACTCGCGGCAAGAGCTTTATGGTTGAAATATGGCAACCTCGGCCCGCTCGTCGATAGACGACGCGACGGGACGAGTCGGCAGAAAACCCTATAAGTGCATGCGTTCTGAATAGGCAGTGTGGCCATTCTGTTCCCTATAAGTAACTGTCACGTTAACAACCTGTATAGCTGTTATACAGAGTAATCCGGAAAATCCAAACTTATAACTATAAAACTTGTAAAACTCTATTTTTGTTAGATTCAAACTACCTATTTGAATTTTTTCACTTTTAATAAGTTACTATAGGTTTTAGACCGATATAAAAAGTAACTGCAGATAACAACGACAAATAGAATTAATCTATATAGAAGAATTTCTACAGTTGTACAGCGCTCCATTTAAGAAAAAGTTTGGTTCGGCACGGATTATCAGAATAACGGCCTTGTATAACGGCTATAGACTTGGGGCATTCCCGGAGAATATCGTAAACAACCGGTATATACTCGTATGTCACTGTAAATGTCCGAAATGCGGTAAAACCTAGATTACAGTTGAGGGTTGGAACCTTTGGTGTTACACAGCAAAATAAAAACACTAAATCACCACAATACACCAAAACACTTTTACTTTTACACACAACACGCGTTTCGCTAACCATGTTAGCATCATCAGCAGATGATTATAAACTTTTAGTCACATGATTAAACTTGACGGGCACATCGATGCCCACTTTTACATATTTTCTTTTAATCAAAATATTTTAGGAAACAATAGTAAATTAATTATAAATATATAAACAGTTATTATTTACATCAACAAAACTCGCACCTTCTTAACAGCACTTAAGGGACACAACGGGCTATTACTATCCCTTTCCCGTTCAAAATATTGTAATAAAGTTACGATGAGTTTTTTGCGGCTATTAAGCTGTCTTGTATCACTTCGCACTAAAAGAGATTCTAAAAAGAACAATGTTCGATTGCAAGGTCTGCTAGTAAACATTTTCAAGCTTAAAGTAACACAACACTATTTATTTAAACCAAAAACTCGTAACACAAAATGAAAGTGTCAAAACGAATGACAATGTCAAGAAATCAATAGATAAATGACACTTGGCATTTTTTATAGCAGAGCTGCCACTTGAATCCCCAGCGCTAAATTTAAATTCCAGTTAGTCAGCCCGGCGCCGAATATGTCCATGGTTGGCAACAATGAATTTAAAAATCGCGCCCTCGATTACATCACTAAAAGTGTAATTGATATGAAATATACATTTGAGTATTCCCAGTATGGATCAAGATATGATTCCGATGATCCTTGCCTTGCTAATTAATCGCCTTTTTACTTTGCCTTGGATACCGCTGTGGCCTGGCACTCAGAATCAGTAGAAATTATTAGAGTATGATCCAAAACCAAAGGCTAACAACTTATAGTTTTGGCATTTGAAATGGAATAAGAAGTACATACCTCATAACATATACAGGGTGGCGCACCTCATTCGCCTCGGTTGATTATACGAAAACGAAAAGATGTAGAAACGAAACTTCGTTCAGTTTATAATCATCTGCTGATGATGCTAACATGGTTAGCGAAACGCGCGTCCAGTGTAAAAGTAAAAGTGTTTTGGTGTATTGTGGTGATTTAGTGTTTTTATTTTGCGGTAAAACCTAGGATAAGCGCGCTAAACCTAGGATTTACCAAAGGCAAGTGGTAAAAGCTCAAAAACTTCTTTATTTTGCTTCCATTTCGGACCTTTACCGGGCCCAAACAGTAAATCTTAGGATTTACCACACCGCATTGGTAAAAATACGAATTATTTTTCTTATAGCAACAATATCGACAAATTAAGAATGTCGATATATAAAGACATCTCTGTTTTTGTTTCCTTAGACATTGAAATTGCTGCCCCAGCTTTGCGCCTTCACGCCTTAGATTGAGACGCAATTGAATTTTTAATCGAACATCTCTTAATTATTCCACTGTTTTAAATAAATATCAGGCGGCTTAACCGCCCGATAAGAGCCCTCTCCTTTTTTTGTGGTTGACTGGCAAGCGATGCTTCACGGTGGAGTTTTCAATAGAAGCCAAATTTTCTAATGTAGTTTTTTATGAAGGTCTTTTCTGTACCATGTTAATGTCCTGAGGAAGGAATGAATAAATTCCGAAAGCTTGACAATTAACAAAGTGTATTAATTATTTGTCAAACCCTTCCGACTGCAACCCCACTAGTTCCTAGATTAATCTACAAATATAGATAAGTTGGATATATTTTTAGCGAGAACCGCAACACTTTGGAAGTCGGAACCTCGGTTACAAAATCGCGGTATTTTGTCGCGATATTTTTCTGGAATCGTCGCTATTGTAACGCGACTCACGTGGAACCGGCATTCCCATCACTAGAGAGATGTATTGAATGTTATTGCACCCACCAACCGCACAATAATGCCCTTCCTGTTCGTGTTGCTATTTTTGCGGTCACGATTTCATTATCATTTTAATGCGAATTTTTAAAATCAACTGAAATGCACCAAGCCTATATATTTCATTAACCGTATGGGGCCATGGATTGTTTGTAATAAAGTTTATTTGAAATTTGTAGTCGTCGCCTCCATCTTGGTGGCAGAACATGTATATAAATATAATAAAATCACTACCAAAAAAATGCCCTATACAAAATATTTGACGTTACTATAACTTGAAATATAATCTGTACAACGACAGGATGGCCGACAATGACAGCTTTCTCTGTCATTTTACTTCATAGGCAAATTGTGTTTTGCCTCTTTTTTTGGATGCCTGTCAAAATCTTTCCTGGCTCGTTGGGCAGACTACACTAACAAAATCAATAATTAGAAGAAAAAAAACATATTTTAACTACGTTTTCCGACAATTTTAGTTAAAATTAATTGACAGATTATGTTTTCGAGAGGACCTACTTAAGAACATTTCAATATAGGGCACGTATTGGTTGTACCGATTTATTACTATTCCCTCTACATATTATGCTATAATTTTGATTTTGATATCATTGAAAAATAAAACTACATTTATACGACTAGATGTTACTAAGTAAAAAACAATAAATACTATTTCACAGCACAGACGATTATATATAAAAGAAAAATTATACAATAATAATTGAGATCTGACATAAGTTCCACATAAGTTCATTCGGCAAACCCAAATATTGACATTAATAAGCCTAGAAATATAATACACAATCGTCTTTTGATTTCAATTTCATTTTACCTTAGTTGCTAGTCGTTCATCAATTTTATAAGGTATATTATCACCCCTCCCTTTGAAAATTTGAGATTAATAATTTATAAAAAAAACATCAAGTTTGACTGTGGAAATATGGCACTGACAGGCAAGATTTTATTTATTGAAGGAAATACTATTGTTCCAACGAACTAGAGCTCGTTTAAAAAACGAACTAGAGCTCGTTTAAAAGAGCGTTCTTTATTCTATATTAGACCATATAAACGATAATAATAAGCATTTAACAGTAGACGCTAGGGGGCGTTATCTTTAGACTGACATTATGGTATTCTGCAGTGGGATTCTGTAAGCTCTGTAGTAAGAAATTTCCTGTCTAGCCTATGCTATTTGTATGCGATTGATGAGTCACTAGACAGGAAATATGTTTAGAGAATCGGGCCTCTGGTATATTAATAGAGAACAAGCCACAGACTACAAACACGTAAAAGTTTACGTACGCATGCGCATTTCTAATATTTTTACACGTGTACGTCTACGTATACGTGCCAGCAGCGGCCGACTCTTCCATAGGCCGTTGTTCTCTATTAATTATTGATTAAGACCATTCTAATAGGAAATAAAATAGAAACGATTATTTTATTCATTACAATAATCATTATTCACCAATAATCAAAACGGCAACTGAAACTCTGTTCAATAAGGTAGTTAAGGACTTATTTTATCATATTTATTATATTTTTGCTAATATCTTCGGTTTGAAAAAATATATCAAAGATGCAGTTTTCGCTGATTTTTTAAGCTTTTATTTCTCTTTACAGCTAAAATTACATGTACTATTGCATTACTTAATTTGTTGAAAACTTTGCAATTATTGTTAATGTGATATGTGGTATAATATAGAGTAAAGAACGCTCTTTTACACCCTAGTTGGTTGGATTTCCCGACGGAGTTATTTTAACATTTAAATAAACACAGATCTGACCTTCCCCCAAAACTTCATTTTAGCAGTTAGGGCAAAATTGTTTAAACCAAAAAATCCGACATTTGCTAAAATTATGACGCCATTATTTATAATAGCCCTTATCCTAGTTAAATTTTGTAAAAATTCCATTTTCTTGTTTGCTATATCAGTTGCGCCATCTAGCGACCATTATACACTCTTCAAAAAAATTTCCACCAATTTCTTATCGCCTCTTTGGTATTAAGTTAACTATACTCCGGTACAGCCGAGAGCTATTAGCTTAGGGGAACACCTTTGTACTCTACCGAAATTTAATTAGAAGTTTAATGTATTTTGCAATAGCAATCGCGACCAGATATAATGTATAAGTAAGATATCAATATTTATCTGTGTAAACGCCTCCAAATAATCTCAAAAATTATTTATCATAAATGAGATAGGTTCAAATATTAGAAATCAAGTTCAAAATTGACTATTCAACTGACTGCATCAACTGACTGCACTAGAGTCGTCGCTATGTTAGAACTAAAGGTACATTAAGGCTGAGAGCGTCGACCGTCGCCGTCGGGTCACATTTGCGTAGCCACGAAATGGAATCAATTCATTTAACTTAAATTAGACCGTTCAGGCAGAAAGCGTCGCGTTCGGCGTTAAACTAGCGTCCTCTGAGCGTCGAGTTCAATGTGAATTGTTTTTCGGCGAGATTTCGAGCGGTCAGTGGTTGTCATGGCGTCTGCGGACCAGCACGCAGATATGCTAATCGCCGAAATACAAGCAAGACTTGCACTGTGGAATGCAAAAAATAAAAAAAAAGAAATCTGCGTGATCGACTATTTGAAGAAATAGCTACAATTTTAGGTATTTCAAGTAAGTATTTTTTCACAGAACGAGTAAATATATGAGAGCTTTCGAAATTTTTTGTATGGGTTTTGTATTCCCGCTAAAAGTATCACAATTGAAAAGGATCTATCAGGATGTTCTTCCAATTCAAAATATAAATGATGACATTCTCCATGCAGATATCTTCTTCTGTTTCTAGGGTGAATTTCTACTTTTTTGTCTATTCTTTTGAATGTAAAATATGGTGTTTCCAATAGTAAAATTAAACTGATGCTCTCCTTGAAGCCATTTTACAAACTGAAAACCTAAAAAACTCATATGACGCTGCGCTGACGCTCCCAGTCTGGATGTACCCTAACACAATTTAACAAGTCAGTGCCCTCCTTAATTCTATATGACAAAATCTAACATTTGATAAAAAATTTACAAACAAAAAAAAACATAAAAAATAAACAACTCTGTAAATAAGGAAATCGATTCAGATAGACTAGAATAATTTTAAATACTTTTTACTTGAGAAGCATTTAAACTTTTATATAGGTATATTTCAATTCAGCAATAACAAGTTATTAAATACATTTTTCTACAAGAGAAATAGGAATGATCACAAAAACTAATTATTAATAAAACAGTCTTCATTGCCGAATTGAATTATAACAAAATTAGAATGTTGATACATATTTTACATGGAATGTCAATTACTCGCCAGTGGGGAGATCCTCAATTTCACCCATTTCCGTTACGGTATCGTCATCGATAACATAACTGACGACAAATTTGAGCGATACCCTGACCAGTTCGGGATTTGCAATCAACATGATCTGTGTAATAGCGGCCGGGGGTAGAAATGCATTGAAAGGTGGTAAATCTGTTGATGATGGCGATTGCAGCTTCAATTTACATTTCTTTAAAAGAAACAAAACACTATGTTAGATAAATATTAATTCCCCTCGATATCCTTACATGATGTTAAAAATAACCCGTTGATAGGTTTGTCATATCCGATGCAGGGTGTCCCAGAAAAAAGTGCAAGTATTTTAAGGGGTGGTACATCTGGTCAAAAGAAGCGTATTTTCTCTTTACCATTTTTAAAATAAATAGATAATAACCGGGTTATTTAACTTTGAAAGAAAAAAATAGTGGCAACATGTTGAGAGCGGTCGGCAGCAATCGATTATCAGCCGCAAATACCAAGCAATTACCGGACTCAGCTTGTCCGACGCCCAGTGCAGACACATGGACTAGAAAGATTTAAATTCAGATTAAAAGTAAAAACTTAACTAACATTAGAAAACGAGACCTGTGGCCGTATGTAATTAGGTTAGAGCGTTGTTTATCACTTTACCTAAAAACACAACTCTACATTTAACAACGCTTTATTTAACTGCGATTCTTGACAGATATGACGATAGGGGGTACACTTAAATACCCACGTGTATTTGACACAAAATGCATTCATATGCCATCTGAATTATGTAGAACTGTTTTTTGAGAATTTAAACTCTGTTGCATCTCGTACTCTTGTTTTTGTGAATAGACACTTGAATAATAAAAGTGTGTCAGGAGAAATCCAAAGAAAGGAGAAAAAAAAACGTTATTGCGTATCCCCTCTTTTATTTAATATTTACCTGGAGATAGCTCTAAGAAGGTGTTAAAATCATATACTTATAAATTCTATACAGATTATCGCCTATCCCTGCAATGTGTTGGAGTTGAAGCCGAGTTAGAGACAACTAGATAACCGGTCCATGTATATTTCACATAAGTTCGTCTGTTAGGCAGACACGGGCGCAATAGCGCAACTCCAAAATTCCGAATATCCATTAGCCCTTACTTTGAGAATTCGCCAATTGCCGAACGGGAGAGCAAAAGAAAGCCGTACAAAATTGGACGAAGCAGTACGAAGTTGGGCGAAGCCGTACGAATGAACAGCTGGGAAGATCGATAATTCAAAATCCACGCTTGCGCACTACGCTCGAGCAGGCCTAACTGAGCGACTTATGCCAAATTCCTTCAGATTTATATACCCATTTCACCGGCTCGGCTTCACAGAATGCAGTTTGGAGTCAATATAGTTAGAGTACGAACCAACTAAGAACATGCTACGAGCGTCATCACTTAGACATCGTTTGTCTCTCTTGCACTGGCGCGTCCATGATTAGAACCCAAGAGAGAAGGCGATCGTTTTCTATCACGGTCGTGACATGTTCTTAGTTGGTTCGTACTTTACTTTATATAAGTATATGGTTAAAATACTGGCACTTATTTCTAAGACATCTTGTATATTGCAACAAAATTATCAGGATTGAGAAATCACAGGTTCAGTTCAGCCTTTGAATAAGAAGACTAAGGAAGGAGCATAATGCTATCCATGTATTCATTCATGGTGGGCGGAAAAAGCGCCATAAAAGCACTCTAGGGTGGGGATCCTTGACAGTTCTGTTTGACGATTCATTTGACACATTTGAATTTGATTTGAAATTTTGTGGATTTGTCAGTCTTTACGGAGCTTATTTTATATTATTTATTATTTATTCTACTACTGATAGTTGTATAAAGGTAGTAAATCTAGATGGAAATTGTGGCAGCACTTAAATTAACAGTGACACTATCGCGATTTATCGAAAAAGACTCTAAAATAGTTGGTTGTGTAGCGTGCGGTAGATCTCGGCAAAAATTGAGTGAAATAATGGAACAGTAAGTTCTTTTCGCTAGTAAGTGACTATATAATATACATACGTGTAGTAAACCGATCATTTATGAAATTCACTTAAATTAACTAAATTATATATTTTTCTTGTATTTTAGCTTTTATTTATTACTTGTCAAAGAATTTAGATACGTTAATTTGACTTACCTGCTTCAGTAGCGTATCGGGTGTTTGTGGTAATAAATACTTATTATAACTTATCTATTTTTATTAGAATTATATATTTTTATAACAATTTTAATAACTACCAATATTTATTCACAACGTAAAATAAAACAACAAATTATTCAGTCTACCCCACGTCTACCCTATACATTTTTTAAATAAAATTAGAACGACACTGATAAACCGGAATTTAAGTCGGCCATATTTGAGGCCCATCGCGGTGTACCTAAGATTTTTGATATGCTCCTTCCTTAGTCTTCTTATTCAAAGAGTTCGGCTTATAGAGGACAGAGATAAAAAGAAAAATTTCTATGGGAACTTGACTATGGGGACTTTGTTGAAAAGTGATTACCTAAAAGGAGAAAGTTAGGGTTCACTAAATGACCACAGTGGCGTTAATAAACACTAAGGGATCGAACTAAACTTAGTAGTTATAAATAAAGTGAAATTAGTCAAAAAAGAGAGACAACACGCGCCTTCAGAAAGCGTATATTTATCTATCTCTTTTTAATTATTTCCTGCTCTAAACATTTTTGGCGCTTCTTTCAAATGTAGAACTTTTGCTACAGCAGCGTTATCTTAATTGTTCCCTCTTTTGACCACTTTTAAAAACACGAACATAATTCTCCTTACTTACCCTCCATACTTTAGCTGCAAACTTAGTATCTTTACAATGGTTAGTAGAGCTTGTAAACACAAAATGTCTATATCAACAAAATATTCTGATGTATCAAAAGTGTCGTAGATGGTAGGTCAGGCAGTATATGGCTATATTAACTTATTGGTTTTAGAGAAACTAATATTGAAAAAATTAGTTTTGAAAGAAAGAACTGGAAGCCAGTCCTGTTAATATTTCGCCAAAACTTAAAAAACTGAACGAAAAAAGTACGTTCCCACAGTTCAGTTTGTATACACCTGTTCACTCAAAATGCACAAAAGTAGAACTAGCTTTCACAGTGCTCTTTTGCGCTTATTGTACGATTATAAGAATTAGTTTCTAATGAATAGAGGTTTTGAAAAAAAACTAAAAAAAAATATTTTATCACTTACCTTTGGTACAACTGCTTGGAACATATAATTAGTCAAGGCTACTTCATTTCTACTTATAGTTGTAATTACATAAACTATTACTCCCGGTCTAGGTTTGTCTTTTGCCATATGCAAAAGAACTGTAATGCCATTTTTCTCATCAAGCGCTACAATTGATTTCTTAGAACTTGGCTTTATGTCTTCTAGTTTAACAAAAATCTCTTTCAAATTTACAGCGAGCTCAGGACAGTTTGATTTGGCAACAGAATCACAATGATTTTTAGATGAATCATTTGACTGTCCATTTAAATTTGCGTTATCCGCACCATTTTCAACATTCGTTTTTTGTGTTACACTACTTTGCATATCTCCATTGTCCACAGATAATTCATTTTGTTCTTTTTTACTACTTTTTATATTATCTCCCCTTTCACTGCCTTCACTAAAATCTTCAGTTATATCTACTAAACAGTCATCTACATTGTCAGCTAAACTCAAGGTCTCATCATTACTCATATTTCTTTGGCTAAAAGTTGGTGTGTCTATGAGACAATTCAAATTTAGTTTTAAGGATTCACTAGTTTCTTCATTCAAGTTATGATTTTCATTTATTTTTGTAAGCAAATTCATTGGTATTTTATCTTGGTGTCTAAAATATTAAAAACATATTCATAAATATATACCAGGTGCGTCTCAATAGTCCCCTATAACTTTATTTTTTTTAGATAAAAAAAAACGAGATTTGGTATGTTAGTATATAATGAGTATATGACATAAACTAGGATCTGTGCCCCCCCCTAAAATCTATAAATTGGGTAAAATATTAGGCTTTTGGATTAAATGGCGCCCTAAAAAGCATATTCTACATTACTTTTTATTTGGGCCCCCCCTAAAATAAATTCCTGTATCCGCCACTGCCAGAAATGACTACAACTTTTGATTTTTAAATGACACCCTCGGTATTTTTTTACTTTATTCAATAGAAAATGACAGTCTCAATATTGACATTTTTGCATATGGTTTGATGGAAATTGTAACATGCGGTTCATAATTGCTGTCCTCCTTTCACGCAGTTGAGCAGCTCTGAACTGTTCAAGAACGCGATACTCTCACTCCATTCAATTGAGTCATAAAGCTCCAGAACTGTTCCGCGCCATATGGAGGCACCAGGCTATCGCGCACCGCTCCTTTCAGAACCGTTCTCGAGTAGCCACAGGGCGGAAAGCCCGGAATTCGAAGTTCCCGAATGGAGGACAGCAAATGACAATTTAACTCGAAATATCAAGTGTGTAGTACCAAATTATTTGTAAAAAATGCTTTTTCCAAATATGCTAATGAGCCACCCTCGTTCCATTTGAAAAAATTGAGATATGATTAAAAATACGATTTGAGCATCTTTTAATCAGTCAGGGCAAGACACTAAAAACGATTAGACGATCAAATCTATTTTTCCAAGGCTCCTTGATTAAAAATTAGTGTTTTTAACACAGCCATGGCACTCTAGATTGAAATTTAAAATACATTTTTTTAAGCGAGAATGTCAAAAGTTGACATATGATAATATGTCGTTCTATTCAAAGTGTCATTTTCTATTAAATAAAGTAAAAAAATACCGATGGTGACTTTTGAAAATCAAAAGTTGTAGTCATTTCCGGTAAAACAGGAAGCGACTGAAAGTAATTGAATACGTCAATCAATCCTAATTTATGTACTACATGCCAAAATACCAAATCACATTTTTTATCTGAAAAATAAAAAAGTTGTAGGGGTGGGCCCATAGATTTAGGAAGAACAGATATCACATGATGAATTTTAACCCGATCAAACATTCGGAGGTTGACTACGTACTGTAAAAACCAACTGAGATAGAGAAGGCGACATTGCCACATATCAAATTTGCGCCTATCTACTTAGTTTGATTTGCACAAAAGGTGATTTTAAAACCTTCACCGGATATCAATAAATCTCAATTTCTTAATTAAATTAATAGTTATTTTTAAAGAAGCATGCGTAATAATATGTTATTAACCAGAGGATATATGCGTTACTATTAAAGCACATGTTTACTGTTTAATGTGCTGAAATATCTAGAACTATTGGCAACGTCGCTGCTAGTCTTCCAAAATGAAATGAGCCGTCCGTCCCACCACCCTTCGCGATGGCCCTTGGTCCGTTATAGCGTACTACGTTTAGCTTACGGTGTGTTTGAAGTCGGAACTTTGCCGTCCGAAGTGAACTTTTCAGTGTTTTTCAGTAGGTTTTGTTTTTCTTTAACGTACTTTTGAATCTGCGAATTTTCAATATGGTACGACAGTGTCAAGTGTGTGGAAAAATAAGCTCAAATTACCCAAATTTGTCTTTTCACAGGCATTGTAGATATTGTTTTGACATTTTATATGCCGCCGTAATTGTACATAGGCGTCCCACAAGGGAGCCTCTCACAATTAAAATAATTTCTAATTATATTTGTTGAATTTTGATCTATTAAAACAAGAACGTAGTAGCCGGTAATTAATTTATAATTCGTCTCAATTACTACCTAACTGTTGTAGATCATAACAAATTTGAATATAAACGTTGCATTTGAAACTTTATTATAAGCCAGAAAGTGACATTTTTTTTCTTAAAATTTGCGTCATATTTTGGTCATTATATACTATATTCTAAAGAAATTTTGCTCAACAAATAAACAGAGGTGTTTACCAGACCTTTTTTACATTTTATTGCTTTATTATATCTGCCCCTTCGGCCTTGTTTAGACAATTTTTTACCACCGTACAAATACATCTTCCTAGAGTTATTTGTACGGTGTGTTTAACTTTTTTTAGAATGGGACGAACTGTAAATAATTCTTAGGCTACTAGTTTTATACCTACCTATATACAGAGTGACCCAGGCCTCCAAAAAAGCTTTTTACCTATTACGTTTTTGGTTTGTGATTTTTATTTCAATTTTTTACATAAGATGGGGGCCATTGTAACGCACATTTTCAAAATATTTTTGTCAACATACAGATTGACGACAGAGATCGGGACATTTATATTATAAGATTGGGACATTTAACTAAAATTTGATTATTTGATGAAGCTACCTTTAAAAGTAATTGATTTGTAAATAAATGTAATAGGTATTCATTATTATGCGACAGAAATCCCATACTGTAGCACACAGATTTTATACTTTTAATGATAAATGCCTTCTATTGAGAGACTAAAAGGCAATTGCCTCGTATCAGAGCCATCATAATACAAGAAGAAGACCATCATAATACAAGAATTATATTTTCAAAAAAAAACACAGTTTTCTCATTAAATATTGATTTTATTGGTATAGGAAGTTATTAATAATACAAGATTAAACAACTATTACACAGTACTTCACAGGAAGCTATCGATTGCGAACTATCTAAATCGTTACTAATTTTGAAAAGTTCTTTTTAAGATAAAAAAAAGGTAAAACTAAAACCTAAACTGTCATTTGAGATTAAACGGGAAGTTCTAAATAATAAATATTTCTGTTTGCTGTAGGTAATTTTCTCAGGGAAAATACGTAAATAAAAATGACTTTTTAAGTCAAAAAAAGTTAAAAAGACAAGTTATTTCTAAAAAGGACTGTCCTTTTCAAAAAAGGACAAGTGGCAACCCTAGGTATTTCTGGAATGGACATTTAATGGCAAATCTACAACTTTAGTTTGAAAATATGTTCCGGCCACCTATGTTTACAAAAATGTCTAAAATGTGCTTTACCATTGCCTCCACATTCTGAAAAAAAAATTAAAAGAAAAGTCACCAACTACAAACCTAATACCTATTTAAAAATGTTTCGGAAGCCTAAGTCACCCTGTAAATATTCAAAAGTAACTGAAAGTTTATATAGAAGTAACTGAAAGTTTAAATTGAAAATCGACGTTGGAGCGATTTTCGAAAACTACTAACGTTTCAACATAAGTATATGTGGGATATTAATTATATTATTATATTAGACCTTATAACAAAACTCATCTGACGAAAAAGTGTTAATGTAGTATATTAATATAGAGTAAAAATTTTACTAATTACTTTACTTTTACTTTACTAATTAAATTCGTTCTAAAAAACTATACGCCACTGGCCATTAGAACAATCCAAATGCGCCTAGTTGCCGGGGTCGGAAATTTTAGACTTCTCTGTCTCTTCTGTCCTTGTTTGGCACATTGGAATGTTTGATACACTACCAACGAGTATTTATGAATGAGATGTTCGGTCTATGTTTATAATGTCTTTGGGTGGGCCACTTTTGAGACCCAACCAGTATACATAACTACACAGTGATGGGCATTACGATTCTTTTTAATGAATCGGATCACGCGATTCAAGTTCTCATAATGAATTCATTTGAACAAACTAAAAACACATTTTTCGTATCATACATCACAGTACAAATAGATACGTATTTTTTGTAAATAACTTTCACATCGCCTGCATTTGATATCCACGATGTTTATTTACAGCTTTAATTACTTATCAATATTTATATCATTGGTATTACTTATATTACAAACATTTATTGGGACCCAAGCTCATTGATAGTATAATATAATTCCAATATTTTATTTTTTCAAATGAACCGTATTGTAAGCGATGAATCAATTCTCACAATTCATTTTCAATATTCGTTCAAATGGACAATCAATCTTTGCCCACCTTTATAAGTACATAACTAAAAATATCCCACCTGTAATTGGATGAAGGTAAATTTTCTTTGAGTAAATGTTCTTCTAGCACATCTAAGTCCTCCAAAGCTTTTAATTTATTTTCCTTCTCTCTTTCCAATGAACATTTCTCTAAAATAATTCTCTTTATTAGAACTAATCAAAAGTTTTTTCCGTTATTACCTTTACAACTTGGAATGGCTACAGGCTGTAATATATTTGTTGTTTGAGGAATACTTCCTAATCCAGCAAACACATCATATAGAGCATCAACTGAATTTTTCTTGTTAGCTTTATTCAATTGATTACTGAAATGCATTATTAGCGTATATTAGTTTTTAGACTTTGTTAGTTAACTAATATTTTAATATCTTATTGAAGTTGAAAAAAATCAAAACTTTTAACAGATACATTATACAGGGTGTTCCTTAATGACTTGCATTTATGGGGGAGATGCTTTAGCCCAAGTTTAAATATTGACAGTATACTCAACATAAAAAAAAAATTTCAACATTAATAATAATAAAAAAATAACACAGCATCAAGAAAATTTGCTTTTTGATATATTAGTGCAGGTATCCAAACTGATTCCTAATCTGTAATTATGGCTTTGGTAAAAGCCAGTGATTATAGAGTGTATGGAAGGGGGAGAAGTTAATTACTGTGCTCTTATCTATTGTGTCCCCCTTTCTTGAGTTATAATCATCAAATGCCAGTGATACTCCAACATATATAAATAGTTAAATTAATAACTCCTGTGCCTATTAAGTTACATATCTGTTTTATTACCTACAAGAACATCCCTCATTCCTAATTTCTTTTGGTTGGTCCATTTCTATTAAGGATAAAGAACTAACATTAATAGCTTGTTGATCCAGTTCTAGCAATGATGATAAATTACTTTGTTTCAAACTGCTTGACTTTTCATGCAAAATTTGTAATTTGTATCTTGTTAAACATTCTGTCAGATCATGTATTGTTTTTAGTACCGATTCTACAAACTTTATTTGAAGTAATTACTATTTTATCTAATTTTAACTTAATTACCCATCAAATCCGCTGGACAATGGTCAGTCTCACAAGCAATTGTTTTTAAATTAGGTGATAAGCGCAATAAATTATTATAGAGCTCATCCATTAAATCTAATTCTCCTTTAGTAGTAACACCTTTATTGTAGGAGCCCATCATTTCATTTAATAATTTTAAATTATTTTGTACAGATTCTAGCTCAGAAACTGCCTTACTCTTAAGGTCTGCTAATTTTTCATCCTATAAAATATATAAGGTAGAAAATATAAAGTCTATAAAGAAAAATAATTTAGAATTTACCTCTTTCACCATACTTTTAATCAGCCAATTAGCAGCTTGTATATCTTCAGGATCTTTACTTTGTAAAAGCTTTCTTAAAATATTTGACTTTTCCTCATCTTGAAATACCGAGTTTCCAATCTTTTTTCTCGTTTCAAAACCTGATAAACAATGCACTTATATATACACAATTTACAGAAATGTAAAATATGATTATATTCACAGACCTATTGCTTCTTGTGGAATGTTAGGGTTTGGGATTTCTTTTATAACACCTTGCTTTCTTAACATATCAAAAGCTTCTTTGATTTTAACCTCTTTTGGATAATCTAGCGTCCATAAATATAATAACTGCAATATTTTCTGTTTTACTGTGAGAGGAGTTTTAGAACCAAGATATTTAGGTGATACCAATTTTATCATTTCATTTAAGAACCTACCCAACAATATTAATAAAAATCGGAAAATATAACTGTTCAGATAAATATTACCTAAATTTGCCTACTTCATCCTGAAACACACTACCACATTTTGACATACACATATCGAGGATATTTAATGTAGAAAGAACTTCTTTCTCATTATCCACGGGAAGTCTCGAAGCAATTACTTTTACACCAAGTGTAGGTCCATCTCGTTCCTTGTTTATTAAGGTAATAAAAGCTTCTACAGCAACACTATCTAAATTTGTTTTATTACAGTTTGTAGCTCTTACTGCAAAACAAAAATAAAAAGAATAAATATAATTATTATGAAATTTACTTACATAAAAGAGCTTCCAAACTGATTTGGGTAAGGTTTGTCATAATTTCTGTGAACTTTTATTATATTTTGTAAGTCGTTATTGATTTTTGAAAATTTAAACCATTTCAAAATTGATTCTGATCCAAAATAGTAAACATTTTTAAAATGTCATTTAAAAAAAAACACATGAAACATCTGTCAAATTCAAAAACATCTTCATTTTTACAACTAGGCACATAGCAACCAAAAGTTCTAGCCAGATTACAGCCATGTTAAACTATCGGAAAGATAAGATATGTTTTCTGTGGGTAAGGGGCGCATGGAATTGAAAATTAATTAAAATTATTTGTAATTTAGTACAAAATTAAAAAATAAAGCTAAATAGGCCGTAATAAAAGAACTAACAAAATGAAGGAGTATTATTTTTAATTTGCCCGTAACCCAGAAATATGGAGGATTTTTTTCCATATTTCTTTCTTCATATCTCTGCCGCAACCAGATGAAGTTTGCCAAGGTCACTAGGCAGAAGACGCCAAAAATAAATAAAGACGTAGAAGTTCAAAATAGTCCAGTAGATTTTGAATTCAAATATTTACCTTTTTAAAATAATAGTTTATAAAATTTCTTAATTTCATACAAAATGTGTGAAAAATATTTAGTTTCCAACCATAAATTAGATATATTAGGCATTCTAGAGGATTCTGATATAGATAAGTGCTATACTGTAAATATCAAGTAAGTCAAAATTCAATATCAAAACTTTTTAGTTTTAAATGAAACTGTTTCGTTTAGTTTTTTAGAATTGTTCGAATCAGATACGAATTTAGGAAATGCATTACTCTCAGATCCAGAAAAATCGTTACGTAATTGGAATGATGCTATTATGAATGTCCAAGATAATTTTTTAAAAGAATATGATAAGAAATTCAAACTTAAAAGTAAAGTTACTTGCAGGATACATACGTTACCACCTTGGCCTCATATATCCAGAGTTATGTTTCCTGGAAACGATGATGCAGAAAAGTTTCTTCAAATTACAGGTAGTTGTTGAGATATTTCGAAAGTTATATTAAAAATAATATTACTAATCTTATAAACAGGGACTGTTGTAAGATTGTCAGAAAGAAAGCTACTGGAATATCAAAGACAATATATGTGCATTAAATGTAAATATCCTATAACTGTTGTGGCGCTCTACGATAAAAAGAATATAATAAAAATTCCAAAAAGATGTATTAACCCTGAAGGATGCACCTGTATGTTTTAGTATCAAAATGTATAAATTCAATTTAATATAATAATCTGCAGGTAAGAATATAGTGAGTTTTGGTGAGCTGGATTCATTTAACTGTAAAGATTATCAAGAAATAAAGATTCAAGAAGATGTATCAAAAATTAATATAGGTACAGTACCCAAAACAATAACAGTGACTCTAGAAGATGATTTGGTGAATATATGCAAACCTGGTGAAAATATTACTATAACGTAAAATAATAAAATAAAATTTAGTACATAATTTAATTTACTTTTGAACACTTTAGAGGTATTGTTAAAAGGAGATGGTCAGAGTTTGAGAAGGGTGTCAAAATGCTAGTTGATATAGTTATGAGAGCAAATCATGTTCAAATAAATAACAGTGGTGTGTCTATGACCATAGCAGATGATACAAAAGTATTTTTCAATAAATTTTGGCAACAATATAAATGCAATCCTTTAGATGGAAGAAACATTATTTTAAATTCAATTTCACCTGAAGTGAGTACTTCTTATGTGATTCAATATTGTTTATACTTTCAAATTGTTATGAACTTATAGATATATGGACTACATCTAATCAAATTAGCTATAGCTATTGTTCTAGCTGGAGGCAGTCAAACTGATGAGGAAAAACAATCCACTGGAATTGATACCAGATCTGAATCTCACTTACTTCTGGTTGGTGATCCAGGAACAGGTAATTGTTGGGTAGTAATTAAGTATGTTTAGTGGGTAATTCTTTAATGACAAGAGGGTAATTCCACTTAGGGGGTAAAATAAAAAAATCCAATCTTTAGGGGGTAATATTTTTAATATTTAAGTATGATTTCAATACAAAAAAATTTTGGTCTTAAAATTTCTTAAAGAATCGCCCCACGAAACTTGTCTACATCTTTACATAACACCCTGTATATAAATATTTTTTAAATTTATTTTAGGTAAATCTCAAATGTTAAAGTTTGCATCTAAAATTGTTAGATCAGTCTTGACTACAGGAATAGGTTCAACAGGTGCAGGCTTAACTGTTTCAGCTGTTATGGTAAATTTTTATTTTATTCTATAATTTTTGTAAAAGTAAAAGAGGTTTGTAGGAAAATGGCGAATGGCATTTAGAGGCTGGAGCATTGGTAATGGCAGATGGTGGTATTTGTTGCATCGATGAATTTAATTCGATGAGAGAACATGATCGAACTAGTATCCATGAAGCTATGGAACAACAAACAATAAGTGTAGCTAAGGTAAATACAATATAAATGTATTTTTGAATTTCATTGGGCTTCAAAATACCTTGTAAAAATAATATTTTTTATTTTTGGGTATGACGAGAAAATCTGATCCAAACACACTTGTTTTCAATAACCCAGTAATAAAAAATCCCCTTAGTTGCACTGTTTTGCCCACCCACAGGTGGCCCGTGTACAGGGTGGGTCAAATTCGACACTTTTAAATGGAAACACCCTTTTCTATAGGAGATAGACGAAAACTAATATCAGTGTCTGGAGCTCATGAATGAATCATGAATTTTCATCAAAAACATGATGATGAAAACCGAACATCAATATCTGTTAGCGTTTCGGAGTTACGTTCGGAGTAGTGTTTTTCAAAAATGTACATTTTTAACAAATCGCTGTAACTTTTTTGCTATGGAAAATTTTGTATTTCTATGAAACATTTCCAAAGCCCTTTTTACGTAGAATTTAATGGTTTAAGTATAATTATCAACAGAAAAATTGGTTTTCTATTTGGGACACCCCCTATATTTTTAATTAACTGAAAAGAATTTAAAATTACTATTTAGTGATGAAACGGATAGTTGTTTGGCCGGATACGGATACCGAATACCGGATATTCGGTGAGCTGAGAGGCCGGATGGCCGAATATCCGGCCATCGTGATTGTTTCAGTGAAATCGAAGATAAAAATAATAGTCAATGTCATGATCAAGAGAAAAACCCAATTGCAAGCGTGATCAACTACTACTTGAAAACAGTTCGAATTGATCACAGCCGGGACCCTTACAGTTGGTGGTCGGATAACGCAAACCGCTAACCGAATTTTACGAAATTTGCGAAAATATACATTTCAGCTTCTTGAAACAGGCAAGACGTTTTTAAAGCCTGTCTCCAAATCAGATATTTTGATGCGGTAGTTTCGCTACTACATAATAGAGGGCGATAAATTAAAAAAAAATAGTTTTCTACAAACGAAATTTAAAAGAATTTTGTGCAGTGTTGCCATTGTGTACTTCATATTGTAATATTTCCTGATAAAGCCTACCTTCAAATTTGCTACATCATTTAAACATATTAAAATAAATCAGTTCTCTTTTTTCAAACGTTTAAGTCAGGTTTAAGTATTTAACTTGCCATGTTAGTTGGGGTTAAATCTTACGAGCTGAATTACAATCAGTTCCTGACGTTTGATTGTAATTGAATCCTGAATTTTGATTGTAATTCGGCGACAATGTAATAAGTATTGTTCTACTATTATGATACCAATTCCTGACGTTCAATTAATTGTGTTCATACTTTATACCGTATGATCGGGGGAAAACAGCGTTAGCGATGGCTATGAAATGAAGATCGCTGTCATTTTATATGGGAAATAGTATACCATAATATAGTACCATATTACGATACATGGCGTTAGTAGCTTAAACTTGGTATTCTACTTATCTTCACTGTAATATTATTGTACCATGTAGCATATAAAGTGGTACCTTCTATAGTACTACATTATGATACCACTTCCTGACGTTCGATTGAGCTCGTATTTGATATATACTTGCTTATTTTTGATGGCATTGCAATATTATGGTACTGTTGCGGACCCGTACCGTGTGAACTCGGCCTTAGGCTTCAGGCGCCTGCTATGACTCATACGCCCACCGACGTTCGAAGAACGAATAAGAATTTACTAGATAAGTCTGGACTGTCTGTTTCTCTCGTATATAAGCCGATGCCCGAAACCTGAAGGAGATGGAGAGATAAATAACCGATCGACGCGTACAGTTACAATCGCCGCGCTAATTCAAAATAAATTTCTGTTAGATAAATCATTAGATAAATTGTAAATAAGTTATAAATAGTTCTTTAAGTTTTTTTTATCGTTATTGTTTTTGTTAGTGTTAAATAAATAGTGTTTAAATAAATTGTGACTTTCTATCCACACGGAACCGACAAAAAAACGTAACAATTGGTGTCAAGTGTGGCGTGTGTGATAGACTAGAAGAATAAAAAGACTGACCATGGCTCTGAAAAAATTGTTGAAAGACTTGAAAGTGTCCGAACTGAAATGCATATTGGAAGAGAGAGAGTACGAGACAGATGGAAAAAAAGCATTTTGCAAGCCAGACTGAGAGACGTTTTGGTAGAGGAAGGTGAGGATCCTGACACATTTTACTTCGAGCTGGAAGGTGACCTTGACTCGTCATTAAAAAATTTGCAAGACAATTTAAACGACAATTTGAATAGTTTGAATAATAAAATTAATTCTTTAGAAGATAAGATCGCGGAAAATTCTAAAGACATACAGGCCAACTTTAATAATAAAATACTTAATTTAGAAGAAAAGATAACAGAAATCCAGGAATCTTCCAGGGAATTAGAAGAAAAGATTATAGATAATTCTACAGAACTACAAGACAAAATAACACAAATTGAGGATGTTATAGAAACGATGTAAATAGAAAAATCGAAATTTTGAAAGAACAAATAGCAAAGGCAAATTCACCAAAATGTCAAGAATCAACGGAGAACCCGACACTGGTTGAAAATAAGTATGTCTCAAAGTCAGTTATTAAGCCTCCACAGTTTGACGGAAAAACCGCTTGGGCCAATTATTTTTGCCAGTTTGAGGCCGCTGCGAGAGCGAACGGGTGGACAATCGCTGAAAAGGCTACCGCTTTGACTGTCGCACTGCGAGCAGATGCGACTGACATCCTGCAGACACTGTCACCATCGGAACAGGGAGATTATCAGCAATTGGTACGACATTTAGAAATAAGGTACGGCCAGGCTCATTTGGAACATGTCTATCATTCCCAGCTAAAAAAATCGCATTCAAAAGTCAAATGAGTCTCTGCAGGAGTTTGAAGCCGACGTAGCCCGCCTCGTTCGCCTTGCGTACCCTGCTAGGCCCGAGAATGTTATGGAGCGGTTGGCAGTACAGGCATTCTCCGATGGCTTACGTGACAACGAGACAAGACAAGCACTTCTCCTAGCTCACCCAACGCACTTGGTGGACGCTTTAGCACGTGCCCTAGAATTCGAGGCCGCGAAACAAAGTTCTCGGTCTTTAGGAAAAGTACGGGCCATCGACGAATGTTCCGACGAATCCGTGGAAGGGATTGTTCGGAAAGTAATGGACCAGTACATGGGCAAGAAGGGACTGATTCATTGCTGGAACTGCGGACAGGTAGGACACGTGCGAAGCCGTTGTAAGGAGAAGAACGAAGAACCGGCTTCGTCGAGGTCGGAAAACTACTAAGGGTCGAAATGAAGGGGCACACGTCGACCTGTACCCAACATGCCCCAACGAAAACTGCTCGAGTCGCCTCGCTACAACACAAATTCAACAGCATGTTTGTGGATGGTTTTGTTGATGGAGAGTTCCGGACTATGCTGTTGGATACAGGAGCGACGAAAACTATTATCAGACCGGACATTCTTAAAACATCGAAGAAGGTAAAACAACACAATGGCGACTACGTACAGCTACAGGAAGCTCCGCTCTCATCCATGGAGAGGTAGATCTTAATTTTGTTATCGGAAGCACCTGTTTTAATCATCGAGTGTTAGTAGCAGACATCGAAGATGAACTTATTCTCGGAATGGACATCATGACCACTAGAGGTTTTCAGCTAAACCTCAAACAAGGAATTTTGAAAATAAATGAAGAAGAAGTGGTTCTGCATCGAAAATGTGAGGAGACGCTTCGTATGGTGGTAGCAGAAGATGTTTCGATCCCTGAGCGCTGTGAGACATTTTTGGATGGTTGCCTGGAAGGTAAAATGAATAATGGGAGTATTATTCTGTTGGAGCCAAGGAATCATGACAGCGAAATAGGACGAGGGGTCGCTGTTGGAAAAGCCCTGCTACGAGCGAAGAAGACTGTACCGGTGAGAGTAATGAACACGAATTATTATTCTGTATCCTTGAAGAAGGGAACCCCGTTAGGGTACTGTTGTTCGGTCTCCTCAGTCATTCGAAGCGTGGAGGCCTCCAAAGTTTCGACTTCAAAAATTCCGGAAAAATGGTGAAGGAGTTAGTAAACGTTAAGGGATTATCTCCCGAAAATAGTAGAAAATTGAGAAACCTGATAATCAAGTATCAAGATGTGTTTGATAAAGGAGAAGCAGGACAGAGAGGTCGTACCAATTTAGTACAACATAAAATTGATACAGGAGATGCGCGACCAATCAAACAAAATCCGAGAAGACTTCCGCTCGCCAAACGTGAAGAAGCTGATAAAATCCTTCGAGAAATGAAAGAAGAAGATGTCATCGAACCATCTAACAGCCCGTGGACATCGCCGGTAGTACTAGTAAAGAAGAAAGACGGTACCACCAGATTCTGTGTTGATTATCGGCAGCTCAATAATGTTACCAAGAAGGATAGTTATCCCCTGCCGAGGATAGACGATACTCTAGACACGCTGGCGGGGTTAACGATATTCTCTACGTTAGATCTGAAAAGTGGATATTGGCAAGTCGACATGGCGCCGAAAGATAGAGAGAAGACAGCGTTCTCGGTGGGCTCCGGACTGTGGCAATTTACCGTCATGCCTTTTGGATTGTGCAACGCGCCAGCTACCTTTGAGAGACTAATGGAGTCTGTGTTAAAGGGACTATCCTGGACTACCTGTTTAGTGTACCTGGATGACATCATAGTGGTGGGGAAATCCTTTGACCATCATCTGAAGAATTTGGAAGAAGTTTTCAAGCGACTAGGGAGTTCTGGTTTGAAACTTAGCCCCAAGAAATGTCATCTGTGTCAAGAAAAGGTACACTACTTGGGCCATGTAGTCTCCTCCCAAGGAGTTGCGGTAGATCCACAGAAGACCAAGACAGTGGAAGAGTGGCCGATACCTAAAGATAAACATGAACTACGAAGCTTTTTGGGACTATGCACACACTATCGCAGCTATGTACAGGGTTTCGCCACCATCGCAAAACCATTGACCAGACTTACCGAAGGCGAGAGGCGTTTCTCTTGGGACTCAGATTCTGACGAGGCATTCCGAAGATTGAAGAAGGCCCTGACTAGTGCGCCCATACTTAGCTACCCTCTTGGCAACGGAAACTTTATATTGGATACCGACGCAATGTTGCGTTAGGCGCTGTTCTGTCTCAGATCCAGGATGGTCAAGAAAAAGTAATTGGTTATTTTAGTAAGACCTTGTCGAAACCGGAAAGGAACTACTGTGTAACCAGACGAGAATTACTAGCGGTAGTTAAAGCAGTGGAACACTTCTACAAGTTCTTGTTAAGAACAGACCATGCTGCTTTGAAATGGCTGTTGCAGTTTAAGAATCCTGAAGGGCAGGTAGCTAGATGGATTGAACGATTACAAGAATTTGACTTCGACACAGAACATCGAGCTGGGGCAATCCATCGAAATGCCGACGCACTTTCCAGAAGACCTTGTGCTAAGGACTGTAAGCATTGTTCCCGAGCAGAAGAGAAAGAAGCGAAACTCCTAAGAACAACTGTGGTTAACGATACTTGGCAACCCGAAGATCTTGCAAACGACCAAATCAGTGACCCAGAATTAGGCTTAGTGATTAACACGAACCAAAGACCAACATGGGAGGAAGTTTGCAGATATTCGCCGAACGTGAAGTCGTACTGGGCCCAGAGGAATTCCTTGGTAATAGATGATGGGTTACTCCGCCGTGTGATTGAGAGGCCAGAGGGGCAAGAAGAGAGAAGGCAGATCGTCATTCCAAAGAAGAGGGTCCCGGAGGTCTTGGAGAAAGTTCACAATGAAACCAGCGGTGGACATCTTGGTGTTACCAAGACACTTGGCAAGCTGCGAGAACGGTTCTATTGGGTGAACTGCAAAGAAGACGTGAGGGCTTGGTGCAAGAAATGTGACGTTTGCGCTGCTATCAATGGTCCACAAAAGCGCGGTAAAGCTCCAATGCGCCAGTACAATGTAGGCAGTCCTTTCGAACGAATAGCGATCGACGTGGCTGGTCCTTTCCCGGAGACGAACGATAGCAACAAATACATTGTGGTAGTAATGGATTACTTCAGCAAATGGGTCGAGGCCTACGCGTTGCCAAATCAGGAAGCGTCCATCATTGCCGATGCCCTTGTTAAAGAATGGATCTGCAGGTTTGGTGTTCCTATGGAGCTTCATTCAGATCAGTGAAGAAACTTTGAGTCCAATCTGTTCCAAGGCGTCTGTGAAGTCCTTAACATCCGCAAGACCAGGACGACTGCTCTACATCCACAATCCGATGGGATGGTTGAACGCATGAACAGAACTATCAACCGTTATCTGGCCAAAGTAGTCTCTGACCATCAAAGAGACTGGGACAAATTTCTTCACCTGTTCCTGTTGGCCTACCGTTCATCCGTCCAAGAATCTACAGGGCAAACTCCAGCCAGCATCGTTATGGGACGGGAAGTGCGTCTACCTTGTGATCTGAAGTTTGGTTGCCGACCGGGAGAAGATGCCGCTGGAGAAGATTATGTCCACAGACTACGTCAAAGGATGGACGACATCCATCAGCGAGTCCGCCTAAATATTCAAAGCGCTAGTGACCGAATGAAGGAGCACTACGACATTCAAGCTGAGCATGGGGGATACCAACCAGGGAATTTGGTGTGGCTGTACAACCCGCAGAGACGTCGTGGATTATCTCCGAAGCTACAATCCTCGTGGGAAGGCCCATACGAAGTCAGTACCATGAAGCTATGAAGCATATCAAGTGGTACCCTACCATAATATAGTACCATATTAGATCCATGGCGGTCGATATAGGGCTTAAACTTGGTATACTACGTATCTTCGGTGACATTGTAATTTTGTGGTACCATGGAGCATATAAAGTGGTACCTTCTATAGTACCATATGTTAACACTCTATGATGTTCGATTGGGCCCATATTTGATATACACTTCCATATTTTTGATGATATTGCAATATTATGGTACCATGAAGCATATCAAGTGGTACCATAATATAGTGCTATACTACATACATGGCGTTCGATTGGGCTTAAACTTGGTATACTACGTATATTCGGTAACATTGTAATTGTAATATGATGGTGCTATGATGCATGTAAAGTGGTACCATATTATGATACCACTTCTTGACGTTCGATTTAGCTCAGATTTGATATATAATTTCGTATTTTTGATGACATTGCAATAATATGATACCATGAACTATATCAAGTGGTACCATAATATAGTACCATATTACGTACATGGCGTTCGATTGGGCTAAACTTGATATACTACGTATCTTCGATGACAATGTAATATGATAGAACTATGATGCATATAAAGTGGTACCTTCTATCGTACCATATTGTGATACCACTTCCTGACGTTCGATTGAACTCATATTTGACATATAATTTCGTATTTTTGATGACATTGCAATATTATGATACCATGAACCATATCAAGTGTTACCATAATATAGTACCATATTAAGTACAAGGCGTTCGATTGGGCTTAAACTTGGTATTCTACGTATCTTCGGTGACATTGTAATATTATGGTACCATGGAGCATATAAAGTGGTACCTTCTATAGTACTACATTATGATACCACTTCCTGACGTTCGATTGGGCTCGTATTTGATATATACTTGTGTATGTTTGAGGACATTGCAATATTATGGTACCGTGAAGCATATCAAGAGGTACCATAATGCAGTATCATATTACGATACCAGTTCCTGGCGATCGATTGGGCTTAAACTTGGTATACTACGGATCTTCGGCGACATTGCAATATTATGGTACCTTGAAGCATATCGAGTGGAGTACAATATTATGATATCGTTTCCTGGATTTCGATTGGGCCCAAATTTGGTATACTTGCGTTTCTTTATAAAGATTTGTTGTGTGCTACTGAATTTTAATAAATTATTTCCATTATTATTAAACTTATATTTCATTACTAACGTTCCAGCATTAATATCACTATCAATCGCCCTGTATATTTTTATAGGTAATTAAAGGTATTTTTTTAGTTAACAATATAAGGTAGTGTATATTAAAAATGTATTTTTTGCGTATATTTTTTGTAATAATATACTTAAAACTATTTTAAAAGCCAAACGAATAATTAACAAAAGTGTGTCTGACAAGAAAAGAAGAATAGAAAGAAACTATTATACACCAGAAAAAGAATGGGTTGCCAATTAAAGGTCGTTTTGAATCTGGCAACTGTGCATATTTAGGCGAGCTTCAAGGCCGTCGACGTGCCGTCGATCTAAAACCGAAAGTTCAACATTTCCAATTATATTCTGATTATGATATTGTCGCGCCATCTAGTATTTTGTTTGTGCAATTTTAGCTCTTTTATTTCGAGTATTTTTCTGTTGTGTAGCTAGATATTCTGTGCTAGTAGGCTTTGGACCACCTTTGGACCCCTTATTGATGATATGCCCTTAATGGAACTCGAAAAAATATTTTTCTAGCAAGACGACGCACCGCCTCTGAATGCTGAAGTTATCAGCAAATTTTTGCAGCCAATTTCAAGAATAATTGAATAGCTAACCAAGATACCAGCCGTTGGCCGTCGAGGCCGCCTGACTTAGTGCCCATGGATCTAATCCTATGGATATATTTGCGGAAGAATAAAGGTTCCTTATTCTTCCGTATAATCTAGACAAGAATTAGAAATACTTAGCAGTTATGAGAGGGTATCTTTCACCCCCACTGAGTTAATGATTCCGAGAGAAATGTTCAAAAACTGACCCGTCTGTCCATAACAGAAGACGGTCGATATGTCGAACACCTGTAGCAAAATCTCATGTCTTGGTTTGCTATTTATTTTTATTGTTATTAGATATATAAATAGTTTAAATGTGTTGATGTTGGTTAAATATATTTTAAATTGTTATAAAATTCTGCATCTCTCATTGCAAATATTATTTTCGTTTTAATTGATGCTCACAGAGAGAATTTTTTTGCATTACAGCCGGTGCCGTTCAAAGCCTACTTATTTAAAGCGGGCGAATTTTTATATACTCTATATCTCGAAGAGGAATCGAGCAAAATATCAAGTGTGTTATATTTTTGGAAAGGTAATTTTAAATTATTTTTAATAAATTAAAAATATACAGGGTGTCCCATATAAAAATCAAATTTTCTGTTGATAATTCTTAAATTATTAATTAAAAAAAAACTTAAACCATTAAATTCTACGTAAAAAGGTGCTTTGGAAATGTTTTCATAAAAATACAAAATTTTCCATAGCAAAAAAGTTACAGCGATTTGTTAAAAATGCATATTTTTGAAAAACACCCCGTAACTCCGAAACGGTAACAGATATAGATATGCGGTTTTCACCATCATGTTTTTGACAAAAATTGAACTCCAGACACCGATATTAGTTCTTGTCTATCTGCTATAGAAAAGGGTGTTTCCATTTAAAAGCGTCGAATTTGACCCACCTGTACATATTCTCTCTGTCGTTATTAATAATCAATTTCTAGGCTGGAATGGTATGTAAACTGAAAACAAGGTGTTCAGTATTAGCAGCTTGCAATCCCAAAGGAAATATTGACATTCACCAGCCATTATGTATGAATGTAGCAATGTCTGGTCCATTGCTAAGTCGTTTTGACTTGATTATACTACTGAGGGACATAGTGGAAGAAGAAAATGATCTTAAATTTGCTCATCTCTTATTAAGTCATATCACTGCATCGAATAATGTAAATTATTGGGATCTTGAAAAACTACAGGTAGTGTATTCTTAGTCAGTTCAGCAAGAATATATATTGATATGACAGACGACGTCCAAAATATTCTACTTTTGAATTAATTTAACAGGCAACTGTCCCTTATACATATATTCTTTCACTGGACAGACCATACATTATGTATATAATACCAGTTGTGCTAATATCACCGTTGTTTATGCAATTTTATTTTTTATTTAAATTATGCACAGTAGGTACAATTAACACTACTATGGGGGTTAAAATTGATGGAAAGTTGTTACAATTAGATTTTTGAATAAGACACTAAGTTTTAATTTTTTTGTGATGCAAAAATGTTTCAAATTGTTTTAGAATATTAATTTAAAATATCGTCACTGTTTTCGCCACGAAGGAGGTCGAAATATGCAGCATTTTAAAATTCGCCCTTTATTTAGTACAAACTAAGAAGGCTAGAACAAAAATTTGTGTGTAGCATCTTAGTTTCATAGAAAAGTAGCACAGCGATGTGAAATCCTGTAGTATAGTATTGCTACTCATAAGCAAGAAACCCCACAAAACATACGAAAATGTGACACCCTGTACATTGAAAAGGAAGCATTTCTTAACCAATGTTTATATGTTTTCGTTTTTAAAGCACACCCTGAAGTTTGCATCGTGTTTAAATAATCATTATTAACCACCCTCTACTTTTATTGCATGAAAAGATTTTGTTATTGTGGTGACTTGTAAATCTAGTGATTAGACGTTTTAGTGATGATGTGTGTCCTCGTTTGGTATTTAAGTACCATAGTTATTAGTTAATGTTTTAGGTCTACTATATCTTAATTAGAAAATTAAATCCTATGCTTTCTGCCGAAGCAGAAACAATATTGAGTACTTATTACCATTTCCAACGAAAATTTGGCAGTAGAAATAAGGCAAGAACAACGGTGCGCCTTTTGGAAAGTTTAATCCGGTAATTAATTCTAAATAAATATTTATTTTTATAAATATTTACTTATTTACATTTATTTAATAGATTATCACAAGGACATGCAAAACTGATGTTCCATTCTGAAGTAGAAGTGATGGATACAATTTTTCCTATTATCCTAGTAGACAATTCACTGGATTATGAATCTTCCCTTTTCAATTTTAAGATTGATAATAATGCTTTCTTCGAAAATCCAGAAGAGCATTACACAAGTTACTTAAATATTATTTTAGAAAAATTAAACCTAGATCATATTTTGGTGAATCAAAATAGAAATAATGATGAAGATATCGCAAAATTTAACAAGTCTTCCCCAGAAGCTTCAACAAGTAGTGGTAAAAATGTTGAATCACCAAATCAATTCAATATGGAAACACCTGATAAAGGGACATCTAATCCTGAATTAGTAAAGCATGGATTTCCAAACATGTTTGACTTTTTAGATACCGGTAAGAGAGGAAATAATTCGAAAAGAACCAATTTGAAAAAACTCAAGCGTAAAGATGAAAAGATTTTAAGTCAAAAATGTCCTTCCATACAGGAATTAGATGATATAATGTTAAATAGTGACAGACCATTAAAGCATTTTGGTAGTGATAATATAAATAGCAAGGAAACTAAATGTTCAGAAAATAATCTGGAATGTGAGACGAGAGATGTAAATAATTCTAGTGAATTACAGTGTGGTTCCAATGATTCTAATCTAATATTGGAGGATAAACAAAGATGTGACAACACTGTATTGGTTGCACCAAAATGTACATCAAAAAAGTCTAGAAAAGAAAAGAAAAACACAAATTGTGATAATTTATTAAGTGTTTTGCCTAGTGTTAATGATGATTTCTCTATGTTCAATATTGATTTTAACTGTGATTCCAATGATGATATCTATGATTCTAATGATACTAGAACTGTTATTGATAAGAATGTCGATGACGAAAATGGTGCTAAATATTTGTCCAGTGAAGGTCCTGGCATTTCAGGAGTTGCACAACCACTCAAAATTGTTGATGAACAAAATGCAAATCCTAGTTCGAAAAATTTAGATGGGAAGAATTCATTTAATGAAAAATTTCACAATAAAAAAATACTAAATGAAGGCCTGCTTAGTCAAAAATGTCCTTCTATACAAGAACTAGATGATATCATGATGGATACTAATGAACCTTTAAAGCATTTTAATAGTAATGAAATAAACTGGCAAAAATTTAAAAAAAGTAAGAAGATTTGCATAAGAAAAGATGATAATATAACAAGTAGAACTATAAACGTGGAAAAATCTGTTGAAGGAGATAGTGATGATGTCCAACAGACAAGTTCCATATCAAAAAGTTACCAAGAAGAATCTGTAAAAGTAGATAATAGCAAACATGATTATGAACTGTCTACTTCCATCTGTGATATTAGTAAGATTAATAGCATTAATAACATTAATAAAAATGAACAGAAAAATTGTGCCTCATTGGAAGAAAATTCTTGTTCAATTAATAAGTCTAACAATTTGCAAGTGAGTTCAGTTACCAATAGTACTTTAAACGTTTTATCAAAATTCCAATTTGTTCCAAAAGAATTAAGAGAGAAAGATAATGCAACTATAAATAATATTAATCAGGACAATAAAAATAATTCCACAAAGGAATCTGCCACCAGTAAAACTATGACCGACATAAATAATACAAATGAAGGTCAGACCAAATCAAATAAAAAGAAATTTAATTTTAAAAGACTTAGTACAATAATGGATTTTGATAAATTAGATAATGATATTAAAGGATTTGAAGTGGCAAATATTGTTTCAAGTCAAAAGACAAAATCTTATGGAATAAAAAATAGTCAGAATGAGGATCCTCAGAATATTCCAAAGGATTCTATAGAAGGAATATCAAGTAAAATGCAAATAAATGCTGCTAAAAGAAATACAAAAATACATTCTAATTTTCCTATGTTAAATTTAGATTTGAATGATATGGACTTGTGATAAATTTTGTTATGTAATTATGTAGTTAATTATATATATATATATTTTTAACTCAAACCATTTTTTATTTAATTCAGATTATATAGGTACCTCTTCTGCTTTCTTAGTACTTACTTAGTACCTTATATTATGCGCTATGATGTATACAGGGTGGTCCGAACTGTATTCCGGAAACTTTGGCAGCGTATTCTGCAGATAAAAACAAGTAAAAAAGTTCGTGTAAATGTATGTCCTAAAATGCTTAGTTTCGGAGATACAGGGTGTAGAAGTTTCATTTTTATTTCGATTTTTTCCAAATAATTTCTGAAGTAATGTCAATATTTCGATGAGAATTGCTGTCCGGAAGTTTTGTGACACGAGAAATCTGATTTTGATGTCAAAATGACTCCTATTTGTAGGGGGTGCCACCTACATGTGTTTTAACTGTTTTGAAGAGTAATCATTTTTCGTCCGTACTGGTATAAAACTACTGACTGAAAAAAATATACATTTCCATTACTTTTTACGTAAAAAATGTCTCTCGGTAAAAATCGCTACGATCAACCGTTCTCAAGATATTTGGAATGGAAATAGTCACTACATGTCATTATTGACAAAAAATAAGCGCACGTTGAGTTTAGCTATTTGGCTGAAATAATTTTTTATTTTTTTAAATTAATCATAAATTTTTCTGCGAAAAATGATGATTAAACAATTTCTGTTGAACTTCTGGAACAAAAAGATTTCAAATTTATGATTTCAGTTTAATAATATAATAAAACTATTTAGTCAACATGTTTAATTATGTCAATGATGACAGGTATTGGTAATTTCGATTCCAAATATCTGGAGAAGCATTACTCGTAGCGATTTTTACCAAAAGACCTTTTTTACGTAAAAAACGTCGTAAATGTACATTTTTTAACTCACTAGTTTTATACAGGTACGGACGAAAAGTTATTACTCTTCAAACCAGTTAAAAAATATGTAGGTGGCGCCCAAGGACTGTATATATTCTAAAGGACTGTTCGATCGCGTCAAATCGCCGCTGTCGTAGTCGCCGTGGAATGCTACGTCACGCGCTGACCAGCGCTCATAGTGCGGCTGATGGTTATTCTAGCGGGACAAAATCTCAAGAGCAATGTTTGGGACTTAAAATCTAAGAACGTAGCAAATGGTCTAATATATAGCAACTATATGATTAAATTTATTTATTTATTAATAACTTAATTTATTAATAAATAAATACAAGATAATAAAACTATGATATTATTCGTACATGACACACAAAAAACGTATTGTAAACTATTTTTTCAAAGTACATACCTTTGGCAATCTTCAACATAATTTGGCTTTCTAATAAAATGTATAAGCACTTGTAAATATTTTGTTTTCGTATGATCTCTGCCTTGCTGAGCAGAAAACGACCAAATTTGGTTGACAAAAATGTATCGAAATACAAAGAATATTCATGCATTTTTGTATCAATTGGAATGTCTACTATATATTCTTATCAGTACACATTTTTTGGCTTATTTCTAACCAAACGCTTTTGTCCCGCTAAATTTATCTTCCAACGCAGTGAGCGCTCGTCCGTCAAATGCAAAAATAGCTGTCACTGCCTAAAATCTTTAGCGCCAACTTCAACTCGGTCAGTAGATGACGTAAAAAAACTGACAGTGCAGGAATATAGGAATCGAACTATCCTTATCTCTATAGTATCCTTGGGTGGCGCCCTCTACAAGTAGGAGCCATATTGACATGAAAATCAAATTTCTCATGTCAAAAAACTCTCAGACACCAATTTTCATCCAAATATTGACGTTTCTTCATAAATTATTTTGAAAAAATCGAAATAAAAATGAAACTTCTACACCCTGTATCTCCGAAACTAAGCATTTTAGTACATACATTTATACAAACTTTTTGTGTTATTTTTATCTGCAGAATATGCTGCCGAAGTTTCCGGAATACAGTTCGGACCACCCTGTATATATAAAAAAATCCTTTTGAAAGTTATATTATTTATTCATCATTGACAATACAACATTGAACAAGAAAATATCTTAGAATTTAATCCAGGAATACTTGTTTCAAACTCAAATATTAGGTATCTAAACTAACTTTATACATACACATTTGGAAACAGAAAATAAATAACTAATATGTAAATATCATAAATAAAAATAAATAAATAGCTTTCATGTGTAAAAAGTGGATTACCTATGTCAGTTACAGGTGAGGGTTGGAACCTTTGGTGTTATAACAGTAAAATATAACACTAATTCAACCACCAAACCAAACCAAAACACTTTACTTTTAAACATCGGACGCACGTTTCGCTAACAAACAGTTTTCAGTTTTAATAATCTGCTGATGATGCTAACATAGTTAGCGAAACGCGCATCCACTGTTTAAAAGTAGAGTGTTTTGGTATATTGTAGTGAATTAGTGTTTTATTTTGCTGTAAAAGTGGGTAAAATATCATATACATAACTCAAAAGATTGTAAAGAAAATAATTGCCTTGAGAATACAAATTGTTAAGATTCCTATTTAATGAACAATTTAAAGCTATAAAATATAAATTTTTATGTCCTTATTACTGTGTCTCACCTCTAAAAAATGAGACATCATAGGATAACTTAGGCTTTTGGTAAATCCAAGTTACTGATAACAGCATAAGTGAATTCTTGTGTACTGTTTTGACCACCAATATCTTTTGTTTTTATTTTTCCATCTTTTAAAACCTTCTCCACTGCATTTCTGATCATTTCACTATAGGAATTCAGATTCACGTGGCGCAATAGTTTTGATGAACACAGCAACATTGCTGTTGGATTAGCAACATTTTTACCTACAGCTTCAGAGAATGTGTGCCTTGCACCCTAGAACAGAGATATGTTAATATGAGACAATTTTTTGGCCAATCATTTTTAGACTTACTGGTTCAAATACTACACATTCAGCTGAATATGAAGAACCTGAAACAACACCAGCACCACCTACAAGACCTGATGCTATGTTGTCCACAATGTTGCCATATAAATTAGGAGTGACCATTACATCAAACTGTTGTGGATTTGATACCATTTGCATAGTGCAATTGTCAACAATCATTTTTTCAAATTCTATATTGGGATATAGCTTTGCCATCTGAAATTGAATAGAGTTAATTTTAAGTACTATAAATTGTCAGAATTGTGTTTCTGATACCTCTTCACAGCTTCTTAAAAACAATCCATCACCTAGTTTCATAATATTAGCTTTGTGGACTGCTGTAACTTTCTTCCTGTTGTTTTTGATAGCATAATCAAAAGCAAATTTTGCTATCCTTTGTGATTTTTTAGCGGTAACAATTTTGAGACATTCAACAACACCTAAAATATTAAATAAAACTGATACGTGATAAAAAATAATTTAACTAATAATTCTAACCTCTAACACTCTCATGTTCTAAAGCTGAATATTCTCCTTCAGTTTGTTCTCTGATAATGACACAATCAATGTTACTGTGACGACATTTAATACCAGGCAGTGATTTAACATGGACAACGTTAGCATACAGGTCTAAAGCATTACGCAATTTCATGTTGAGGGTTTGCAACTCCCCTACAATAATAACAAATGTGTATATTGGTATATTTCAGTGAAAGTGTGTTAAATTTTACCGGTATGTGAGTAATCTGGAGTAGCCAAAATACCTTTTAGTGCTACTCTATTTTTACTTATAGAATGGGCTACCTAAAAGTTAAGAATTAATATTTAAATGCTATAAAATCAGTTATAATTGAAGGGTAGTGTTGTAAAAAATAGTCTTACATCATCTAATGGTGCACTTAATGTTGGATTTACTTCAGAAAAAAAGTATGATTCCCAGTCGACAGGGACTCCAGCTGCTTTAAATACTTCTTGCACGGAATATACAAGTTCGGGACCGACTCCATCTCCAGGTATCAGAGTCGCAGTTACGCGAGTATCAGGTCTTTCTGCCAAAGCCTAAAATTGTGATGCGTTAACAAACATGAAATTAATATAAATTAGCCAGTGACTTACAGCTGCTCTATTAGTGTTTGTAGAACTATGAATGCTACGAGCAGCTACTGTTTGTGATGCCTTAAAAATAGAGGAAATTAATTTATATTAACAAATTCCTTCAACCTGTTATATCATCAGTATATAACCTAGAAAAAGTAATGAGTAAATTTTTACCTGTACACAAATTCTTGGTATATTTCTAGTAAGCACGGACATTTTGGGTTAATATTATACTTTTTTTATTTCAGAATTTATTATTTTAATCCCATTAAAACATGGGAAAAATTCAAAAAAGTATGGATTTAAAATTGCAGGGAATGACAAAACTGTCAAAAAATGGCCATCCGCGCCACCCACGTGAGTGCGACCTGACTTGAAACTAATTTAGTTGTGAGACATCTATCGGATTTACTGAAAACAAAATCAATTAATTGAGAGGTTTGTTAAAAGATGGCACTTAATAGGATTTTCTTTTTTATTTTCTTTAATTTGAATTTCGAATATAATCGAAACTCTGAATTGAAAATGTTCTCTAAAATAATGCTTGATGTGTATTGAATCCACGGTTATATTTTTACTATATTGTATTATAATGTAAACACTAATTAATGGGATGTGATTGGAAACAAATTAAATAATTTATTATTGAACATTTTAATGATGTGGTGTAAATTTATTTTCAGTTATTACCCAACATTTAAAAACATTTTAATACAGAAATTTGCAAATGATTTTCTTTTAAAGTATAGACACGCAGATAAGTTAACGCGTTAATAAGCAAGAGGCAAGTGCGCCATAAATTTCAAAAATTAATTCCCGTAATTAAACGATTTTAAAACGGCGCACAAGTCGCCTGCAAACAAAACAAAACTATAATGATCATCCGTACTCCTGCTAAGAACACCTGTCGATTTCACCTGCGGGTTTCAACTATGGGCGTCCTCGAAAACAACTACCTGACCAATAACGGACGGCTTTCGGTACGCTGGCTCTTCATTGGTACGTTAAGGCGGGACCGAAGTTTTAGCAGCTCACATATAGGAAGTAGCGAAGCGTATAGAGAGGCCAGCAGGACAGCTCGGTGCCGCAGGTTAGTAATGAGCATGCTTGGTTCTTCGACCTTGTACCGAGAGAGAAAAACGTACTTGTTAAATGGGGGTCCGTATTCTGAATTCAATTGGAAAATCATGGTCTCGGTCTTTGTCAGGGATTTCAGATCCAGTATATTTGTTGTTGGTAAAATAATAATTATTTATTTATACTTATACAAGGTTGTATGTTTGTTATTTTGTGGGGTAGGGGTTTGATTTGTTTGTTAACATAAATTATAGATTTCATGTTTCATGTGTTAAATCGTTTTGTTATTAATATGAAATCCATGCAACTAATTTTTCATTCAACTGCCAATTATTGCATACTCTCTATTAATATTTATATCTTGTTGAAACAGTTTCCAAAAGGATTGTTGGTTCTCCACCTTGCTGCGCAGTTTTGCATTACTGAAGATGTAGACCAGGAAATAAAACTGCAATACTTTTGTAGTTTGAATACTTATATCGCAAAACAACAGGTAAATCAGGGTACCTACTTATTCTTCACTACTATAGCATCTTCAAATATCACTCGCATCTCCAAAAAATCCATATAACAATACATGTAATGAATATGTTACGCAAACGTTGCGAACGATGACAAGAATAGCACCGCAGTACAACCACGCCGCATTAGCGGCGCTGCAAAATTATTTTTTCTTATATTTGAAGAGCTACAGCCACTAGAGATTACATATTTCGTCCCAATATAAGTATACCTAAGAAATTTCCCTTGACATCTTCCTACCCAGAAGTAAGTAACTTCAAACAGAAGTACTTTTTATGATGATAATATGTATCGTCCTGAGTATAGACAGTAGTTAGCCAATGTGTCAGCTTTTTTATTTCATCTATGTATTCCAATGTATTATCTGTCCTTTGACCCAACCCAAACTGATTTTATTACCATCTGCGAGAGGTATATCCATAAATGCTTGATATTATCCTCTATAAATCTCCGTAAGGTCGGAAAATACTGTTATCTGTCAATATTTTTTGCGTTTTCCAGTATCTTCCTATTTATATACAAGGCATTTCTGTAGCTGTTCTGTTATTGTCTATCGCAGTTCTACATACTTACTAGCGCCCTTTATTTACTCATGGTACATTTTTCTTTATTTCTCAAGCTTTCGTGTGTATATTCCACCAGCCTGTGTACTAGCCCATTTTTTCCTTTTTTATCCGCTTGTGAACATATTATGAGCTTCTGAACATATATATATTTTTTATATTTTCCTTTTTTTCAAAAGTTTCAAAAACTTTCACATCAACAGTACCTACCAATCTTCTTGAAGTATTTGGAGACGCATTTAGCAACTATTTTACTTTGAATGGTCCTATTTCTTGAAGTTTATGTCTTTGAATATGTTTATCATTGCGAGTCAGCAAGCTGGGAACGGTTAAAAAATATTTAAATTAGCTATTATATATGTCAGCCTTTCTGTTTTTCGTCTATCTGTCAAGAAACTGATGTTTTTACCTGTTATCGTCCTATAAGGGATATCAAAGATGGATATCTCTCACACTACTAAATGGCAATTCCTGTCAGTTTTTCATCTATTATAATCTAAAATTATAATCTACTTAATACGATAATGGCGTCTTTATCCATGAGTCATATATCTTGAATTATTAAGGTTTCTGGTTATATTTTAGGCAATTATACCTTTCTTTTCTTTTGGACAAATCTGTGACAATGACAATGCCTTGTTGAAAACAAAATAAACACTACCTTATAAGCCATAGTTGGTGGGAATGGTTACCCTCCTCCAAACCACAAAACAAACTGAATGCAGTTTTTCATAAACAAAGGCTTTTAATTTGTTGGCCAATCATCCAAGTTTTAAAACAGTGGAAAAGCAGGTGTAGAGGCATGGGCATACCTAAGTGAAGATTCTTGCTTATACACTTTGCAATTTGCTGACGACCAGGTTATTTCGTGCAGGAGACAAAGATGATTTGGAATATATGACACGCAAATTTAAAGAGGAATGCCAAGTTTGGGGACTGGAGATGAATATCACAAAAACTAAATATTTATCTCTGCGGCTCTGCAATGGATTGGATCAAAGAGCAATACAACTGGATAATGATTATATACAAACATGAAACGAATACAAATACTAAGGCGTTACTTTCGATAAGCTCGAGAATAGTAAAGGCTAGAAAAGCAATAAAGTGCCCAAATAACATACTCTGGAGTAACAAAATAGGTAAACAACAAAAACAAAATAGGATTATAATGCGATAATCAAGAGCAATCTGTTATTTGGGCGGAAACATGGAGGTTAACGGAGAATAACAAAAGGAAATGACTGGCGGTAGAAATGGATATCACGACGCGATAAGGATATCAGCACGAAATTTAAGGCTGGATAGAGTACGAAACGAGACAATCAAGGACAAAATGGGTATTAGGAAAAATAGAGAGTATCCAACTGAAGTGGTATGGACATGTGAGAGGAATGGCCTACACGTCTATCTCAGAAGGTACTAAACTGGCATCCACAGAATAGAATGAAACATGGAAGACCAAGGACAAGGTAGATGGGGGTGTCAAGAAGGCGATGAGCTGAAGGGATCTGCGTGATGGAGACTGGGATGACCGAAACCAATGGCAAATAGGCATCGCACAATGTCGAAGGACGTTTTAAAAGCGATTCTTACATATACAAGACTTTTAAAGCTCTATATTGCCATGGCGTACTGTAACTAATATTAATCTCTAAGGTGAAAATACTGATTAAACCTTCAGTTACAGTTTCATCTCTGTTTATGTAGTACTTTATTATTAATAGGTATATCTTCAGATACAATGGAAAGTACTATCGTTTTCTAGAAAGGTACTAGCCGATTTCAAGAATTTTCCTCGATTTCCGAGACTTCGGCATCATTAGGCAGTAGCGAGCCCCTTCACTGCTTCTGGTGCGGCGCTCGCCCATACATACATACACCTGTCGATCGCCGCGCTCTGCACCAGTTTGGCCCACGTGGTACTCGTGGAGGGGGTACCACAGTACCGCCGATCGGTAGCACCGCTCTGAGGGTCAATGCTAGAGCGGTTCAGTGCCATTCATACCAAGCTCATGGCTACGGACGGGTAGATCACGGGCTCAATCGATTATTGCATCGCGCCAAGCCGGTACCGCTCAATTCGTCGCGAAAATCATCGGATTTTTTTCGGAACTACCTCCCCTTCCGCGATTTTTATCGTCCTTGACGTCACAGTTTAGGACACGCACAACAAAATAAGGACTGTTTTCACTTAATATTCAGTTGTTAATTAAAATAAACAAACAGGACAGTGATTTATAAACAATTAAATTTATTTTTTTCTAATTTACTTAACCTAATTTATTCATATGTATATTTATATACATTTACAGACTGTGAATAATATGCCCGTAGTGATTTAAGACTCTTAGTAATATACAAAAAAAACATAAACATTTAAAATTAAACTTGACAATAATTTTTATCGGTAAAAAATGGAGACTTGCGTACTGATTCCGCAGGAGTTCAGTCTCTGCGTTCGTCCGCAGGACAAGACGGCCAACGGTGATCCTGAGGTGTCCGTTTGGTCCAATTCCGCCATAGCTCAAGGCTCGCTGTGCTACCCGTTCCAGGGTACTATTCGGATCGACAAGCTGGATGTTTATAGTACGCTGGAAGATGACGACGTAAGTACCGATAAATTTAAGTAAAAATGGAAGGGGATGTTTTTTGAAATTGGATTCGAATATCATATTCTTTATCAATAAAGCTGATTGCGTGTTTTAAAAAAACACATTTGAAAATGTTTTATTTTAATTTTATCAAATCATGATCTAAATAAAGAAGGGCGGAATAAATATAAAATTATAGGACAAAAATTGCAGATAGATATCAATTAAATTTTTTTCAAAAAAAAATATGCATATTATTAGGTATTTAAAAAGAAGAGTCCATCTTCCCCATCTCATATATATTTTAGGGTTTTGTATAAAGTAGTAAAAACGAAATTAAGACATGCCAGTGTTTTGTGAGACATCCAAATTTTATCAGAACACTATAGTAACACTAAGTAAGTTTCAGATTATAGAACTTTACGAGTATTATAATATACAGGGTGAGTCTTAAATAAGTGCAAATATTTTCAGAGCTGGTAGATCTCGATAAAAGAAACATATTTTCTCTTTGCCGTTTTTCAAATAAGTCCAAAATAACGGAGTAATATTACTTTGAAAATTTCCAAAAAAAAATAATTTTTTGCTTAAATTTTCAGAACCACTGGATCTTTTCTGGATTTTCTTTCTTGTAAAATTAATCTACTACCTATGTTGCCATATTATGTTAGTTTAAGTTATATTTTTTAACTAAAAACTAAAAAAAAATAAAAATTTTCAATTTTTTTTCGCGAAAAAAACTTCATAATTGTGTTTCTGGGGTCGAAATATACTACAACTAAAAATATTTGAACTTATCTGAAGCTCACCCTGTATTTATATAGGATCCTATATCTCCTACGCGAAGCAAAGGGCTTCAGTGGGAGCTCTCCATCGGGTTCTACCGTATGATCGAGAAGAAACGGCGTCAGCGATGGCTATGGAATGAAGATCGCTGTTATTTTATATGTAAATTTATATGGGAAATGTCATCGATGTTCATTTCCCAGCCAACTGGACGCCGTTTTTTTTTTCGATCATACGGTATTTCTGGCAGTTGTTTTTGCTTCCTTTCATGTTGATCTTATTTGTTGAAGCTCATCCAGTACGGAACGGTTCCATGTTTGATCAGGTCGTCCTATTGATTGAAGACATTCAGTTGATATATATTTTTTTCTTTCGAACAATAATGTTCTTTAATTTGAGATCTGGAATAACAGAGAGGAATGTAAATCTTAGGGTTTGTCAAATCAAATTTGAAAGATATCTACTATAAAACCTTTTTAGACTCTTCAGAAATATCTACCTTCATTGAAAATATATTGTTTATTTTGTAAAATATTAATGAATCTAAAAATAGTAGATATTGTTGTAACCTACTGTTGCATTTGTTGTCTAATGAAAAAATAAAAAAAATATTGGGTGTGCTGTTGAATTTACAGCGAAGCCGAAAATGGAAGATCACTGTCATTTTATATGTTGAATGTTATCGATCGTCATATCCAATCCAACTGGACGCCGTTTTTTCGATCATACGGTAGTTTTTTTAAAAGTATGCTGTATGCTCAATACACATTCCAAATTTGAACAATTTTGGACAAGCCGATTTTAAATAATTTAAGAAAAACTACATCTATTTTAAATAAAAAACTGAACAGGTAAAAATGCAAAACCAGGCAAATACCAAGATACTTTAAAACTTAAGGTATCTGGTTAGGTTAGGTTAGGTTAGGTTATAATCAACTTACATACATACAGCCGTTACTCGCTGACGAGTATTCGACACACAAGGAAGATCGTCACGCAAGGCGTTTTCTTTCATGAGCTTTTCTGTGACTGAAAAGCCCGATACGTGATGTTATCTGCCTACCGCACTCCGGACATTCAAAAATCTCATTGCTTTGTTGCCTCTTTAGTTTTTGGTTGCCGCTGTTAACTGAGTTTACAACCCTTCTCCATTGAGTTCTATTGTGAGCTGCTTTTTCCCACTCATTCTGCATGTTAATTCCCTTTAAATTTTCGTGGAAAGGGTCCTTGTACCATTTCAGTTGTCCACCCGGCCTCCTCTTACCGTCTACAAGCTCACCGTAAAGCAGAGATTTTAGCACGCGGTTTTCTTGCATTCTGCATACGTGACCAGCCCATCTTAAGCGGGATTTTGTGACCATGACTTCAATACTCTCGCAGTTAGCTTTTTCAAGGACCGATACGTTTGAGACATGATGGAACCACCGGACTCTTAGGAGTTGTCTAAGGTGTCTCTGTTGCAACTTGTTTAATGCGTTCATGTGTCGGCGGTACGGCACCCAGGTTTCGCTCCCATATAACATGGTGGGGATTATAATTGCTCGGCACACTGCAAATTTTGTTTTTGTACTCAAGTCATGATTGTAGAAAACCCTGTATTTTAATTTCCAGAATGCTCTTGAGGCGCAACTAATCCTGTGCTGAATTTCAGAATCAATATTGGCCCTTTCCGAAATCAAACTGCCAAGATAATTGAATTACGCCACATATTCCAATAGTACTTCTCCGATTTTTATAGCATTGTTGTGATCTTTCGGGGGAGTGCACATGATTTTAGTTTTGTCGATGTTTAGCTTAAGGCCCAAAGCTTCGTATGCCCAGGTATATGTGTTCAACATTTCTTGTAATTGTTGTACCGTGTTTGCAACTAGAGCGCAGTCGTCAGCGTATTAAAGTTCTGTGATAAATTTTGTACGTGTTTTTGCCCTGAGTCTTTTTATGTTGAACAGACCGCCGTCATATCTGTATCTAATGCCCAACCTCTCTCCTGCAGTTTGCTGTCCACTATAATGGAGAGCGCTGCCATGAATATGTTGAATAGGAGAGGCGCTAAGACACATCCCTGCCTAACTCCTGTATTTGTTAGGAATGGGTCGCTCGGTGATCCATGATGTGACACTCTTGACTTGTTGTTGTGGAGGCTTTTACACACTGTAAGAAATTTGTTGGGTACTCCGAACTTTTTCATAATTGCCCAAAGCGCATCTCTGTTGCATCCCTCAATCAACTGAAGGCTTAAGTTGTCAACCGTAGGTTGTCAGCCAGTAATTTTGTCAATATCAAATTGTATTTCCTAAACTTTAGGCTTTTGCCTAATTCGAATAAGTTTTAAACTACTAAAATGCATTTTGGACACACTAACCATAGGTACCTACAACAACAAATTGCACTTAACATTAAACACAGTTGCTTTTTATTGTTTTTAAATTTAGCGAATATTTAAAAGAAGTCTTTATATTCTAAAAGCATCATTTAATAGAAAACCAATCATTCACATTTTCTCCAATACTCCTACGTCTAATATTAATATTGTTAAAATTAATTATCCATCAGATCTCTATCATCATAATTTTTTCAGTTCTCTCGTGATTGTCTACTGTGCTTACCAGTTCTTTATTACGGATTATCTCACTTTAAACTTCAATATCCTTTTGCATTGTGGACCTGGTAGGAATTGGTTTATCAGGGAAATGAACCGAAAACATATCAGCGTTGATTGAAGAAATAACCAAACCAAACCAACCCAATTCTTTCAATCAACGATATCAGATACACTGCCTAAAATATTCCCCGGCACTTTATCATAGCGAGTTTTCAAGTTGTATATAGCTTATAATAATTACAATAAAGTATTATTAGTGCAAAGATTGGTATATTTTTTGGTTAAAGATTAAAAATTAATGTTAATTAACATTTGACAATGACAAAATCCTATAGATTGATCACTTAAGGTATGTTGATATATGCATGGTCTTGCGTTGTTCAGTTTTAATTTATAAATAGATGCAGTTTTTCTTAAATTCGTTAAAATCGGCTTGTTCAAAATGGTTCAAATTTGGCAAGTGTACCCAGCAAACGCAGAGCTTTAAAAAAGCTATACAACTTGGTTGTAAAATCAACAGAGGAGTCAATAGTTGGACAGTTCAAAATTTGCCTGGGGTTTCCTATATTGCGAACTTCAGTTACGATACACTACCCAGTATATTAAAATCACTTCACCATAAGTATTCGAATTTGAGTACAATTTTTCCGATTTTGTAGCAGGTATCTTGTAAGTGCAGTTTTAATTTTTTACACAATTGTTTTGATAAATCGTAGAGATTTACTTTTGACTAGTTTACCGATGATGAATTGCTTTCACCAAAAATATGTAGGCATTGAGCTAGAAAACATCAGGTTTGGATGACATGCCGTCGGAAATAGGTACTTAAATTATGCGGTTTCTGTTTAATAATTCATATTATTTGGCAACAACCACACGCTATATAGAGTTTCCCATCAAAATCAATATTCAAAACTGCAGCATTTTCTGCAATTACAAAATACCGTATAACCGAAAAAAAGATGTCCAGTTGGCTTGGACATGACGATCGATGATCACAGATAATTTTACATATAAAATGACAGCTGTCTTCATTTTATAGCCATCGCTGACGCCGTTTTTTTTACGATGATATTGTAGTATAGTGTGTATAGGTCCCTACAATTCAGCTAGTATAAAAAAATATAAAGATAATTCATAATCATCATAATTTTCAGCTTATTCAACCATTTCCAATTATGGTGTACCCTCCCTCACATATTTAGATACTCTTTTTGTAGTTGGACCCATTGTTGTCTATTGTTGTCTATGCGGGCCCAAGTTATCCCTGCTAATTTCCTAATATCATGGTCCCATCTCAGGTTCGGTGTTCTTCTATAGGTCTCTTAATTTCTTGTGGGTATCATGCCGTAATTTTTGAGGTCCATCTTTTGTCCGTTCTTCTTGCCGGGTGTCCTGCCCATTGCCACTTGAAGGATTTCACTCTGTGGATGACATCTATTATCTGGGTCTTTTGTCGTATCCACTATATTCTTTTACGGTCTTTCTTGGTTATTCCCAGCATATTTCGTTCCATTGAGCGTTGTGCGACCCGCAGTTTCCTATGATGTCGCTTTTAAGTGTCCAGGTTTTGCATGCATATGTCATCACTGGTAGTACACATTGGTGGAATGTTCTCTTCTTTAGA